CAGAAAGCATTACACAAACTGTTCTCCCATTTTACAGCTGAAAGAGGTCACTACCAAGGATTATTTCAAATCAGAGAGCTCCTGGTTGATGCACCAACCTTCCCAGTGCCATGCCATTCTTTGGGTTGCCAATATGGCCCAAAGCTTTCTTTCTGCAACTTAGTGCTTTGTCCTGGCAGAAGGATTTAAAATAATGACCTAGACCCAATGGTTGCTTTGCAAAATTCTAGTGATGAAAAGCAGCTGTGAGTTGACTTAATCAACCAGTTAAATGGTGTTTATGACTGTCTCAGCTTTCTGGGACAGCACAGAGTAGTTGGAGTAAACTGAAGGAGAGGCCCAGAGTTGCCAGTCTGAGGTAAAGGAAGGGGGGACTGCACTATCTGCTCTTCCCACAGTGACAAGGCAAAATCTGGTGAAAATGGGGCTGGGGGGAGGAGATGCAGCATCTGGCATGGCATGACACTGTCTGCCACACTCAACTCTGCCTTCACAGCCAGGAACAGCTCAGTCAACAGCAGTTACTTCAGAGGTTTCCCTCAGTGAGATTTATTCTTGGCACCCAGACCTGAGTGCTCTCAATGCAGGAAGGCTTGTACCATTTCCAAGATTTCTGCTGGCTGACTTTACAGTTGGCTGGAGGATACAGGGGAAGTTTCTGTTCAGCTTATATGGCTTTCACCATCGTGTCGCTAGCTCCTTTCAAAATAACAGCTTGCCTTCTTGACAGGAACGAATAAACTGGCAAGGCAATTCTTTCTTTGTTAATCTCTAACTGGTCTCCAGCAACACTATAAAATGAACTATCTCCAAGCCCATCTAGGGCTCCTTGGCCTGGGTGTACAGCACCACAACAGCCCTTCTTCAAGGAGATTATTAGCATCCTCCAGACAGCCAGGTGCTGACCAAATGGCACCAAACATTATTCCTTCCTTCTGAAGCCCTGGATAGCTCACCAGGCATGTTATTCTCTGCTTTAACCATTTCCTGATAGCTCAGACATTGCTAGGTGGAGGGCACAGCAAAGGACAGATCCAATCCATATGTAGGAAGAATCCCTATATAGGTAAATATCATAACCTTTAGAAAACATGCAAAGGGAATAAAACTTGTGAATTTCTTTTTGTGAGCTCCTTTCTGTCACACATATGCAAAGGAGGCACCTGGATTTGTTGCTATGTTAATAAAGGTGATCTTTCTTTTCTGTGGCAAATCCCTTTAATCTTTTGCTCCAAAGAAGAGTCTTAGGAATAATTTTTGTGCTCATTGTTTTGGATAGCTTGGAATAATTGTTTTCATTATTGATCTGAGTTACAAAATAATTTCTCCTACAGGTAATTTACCTGAATGTATTTGTGACTGGTAATCTGACAAACAGATCTGTATGACATATCTATTGATACCTTTTTTCTCTATCCTTTACTTTATTTCAAGTTCCTCAAAAAAAAAAAATCTTTTAGCTGAGGTACTTGTAGTGTCAGGCTTGAAATAAAGAATATTCTGCAACATGAATGTAGAGCTGAAAAAAACAGGACATAATATTATTTATATGTTTTTTTGAGTGTGAATATATACATACAACTTAATAGTCTGGTTCTGATCCTTGTTCTTAAACTGAAAGGCTAGAAACACCTTGAAGGTACTTTTTATATTGTTTGCTAACTGCAACTACAGAGCAGAGAAGCTTGATGAAGCACATAAAGTGCAGTATCTTTTGAAGATTATAATAGGTAATGTATTTCAGAGCATTGATGTGAAAAGGGGTTGTAATCACAACAGTTAAAGTAACCCGTATGGGACTACTATCCTAAGCTCAGCTGAGGAAAGGAAAAGGAATAAAGAAGAGTCCATACAGAGAAGGAATAGTAGAACCCTAGAGGAAGAAGGGCTTTTGAAGGAAGAGATGGTTGAATTGTTAACAAAAATTGAGGGGCATAAAAGCTCTTGAAAGGGCTAAACTGGATCCTCATTATGAGCCATGAAAGGACATTAGTCTTGGTGAGCTTTGACCTGTGGGAAAATTGGGCTTTCAAAGCTAATATAAGAATAATATTTTTTTATCATATAAAAACATGTAGTATTGAGTAAATGTTCACAGTGTTCATATAAGGACCATGGCATGTCCCATGGCTGCAGTGTTTGGGGTTTTTTTGGGGTCCTATTCTTCTCTCTCTGCCATTTTGAGCAAAGCTTTACAAATATTGTAAGGTATTTTTCCAAATATCCTATCAACTGAAGAAATTATACGGGCAGATATAATAGGCAAAACTGTATGTACTACTATTTTTGCTGAGGTCTTATTAGACAAAAGACCTGAAGAGATGCTGTGGACATCATGTCCTAAGTTATCAGTTTGAAAACAAGTATAAACCCTATGACTCTCAGCAGCCTTTGAAAGGGAGACAGGGAGAGCAGATACTGGAAAAAGAACTAGTGCAAAGAGCCAAGGAACAGCAACTATCCAAAAGAGTTGTGATCCTAAGGTTAAGCAAATGCATTTTTCTTACTGCTTCCCCATGCTGCATGTTGCTGTACAAGTTGCTCGGCTAGAAAACAGTCTTTTTTATTGACTCTCATTTCCTACAGACAACAATACTGGCCATTTTTTTTTTCTTTCTTTCTAAAATCCTTTGGAAAAAACCTAAGGCTCTGTAAAATGTTGGATATGTGGAAATCCCTTGGCCTAAACTGTCTTGAATGTGGAGTTCAGCAAACATTCGGGTTTGTTTATAAGGCTGGCATATAAGGCTGTTCGCTTACAAGGCATTCAAATGAGGAATAATGAAGCTGATAGAGTGCTAAGAATACACAAATGCTATTTGCTTTGTAAAGCTGTATATGGAATCCAGGAATGAGTCCTGGGATACAGGACAGTCTATCACTGTAAAGTAATTATTTGTTGACTGCTGAGCCAGCTGGGTTGAATTTGCTTCTCGGAGTGTTCAGAATGCCAAAGCACCTTTAAATCTCAGCCTTTAGTTTAGATTAGACATGTTAAATGACAGCACATATTTTATTTCCTACACTGTCTTAGTCTCCTGATGCTAAAAGGAAAGTGTTGTTGAGATAGTATAGAACAAGGTAAGTTAGAAAGAGGAGTGAATAAAGAAAGGGTTTTTTTGTTGACCAATTACTTGTCTTTTAAAATGCTCTCAGAGATGGTAAAAGCTATGCCTACAAGCTATTGATGTCTTGGGACTGTGAGGTCTAATTCTGCCCATGTGAAAACAGAAAAAGTAGATATATTAATGTAAAAGAAAGGTTAAGACTGTATGAAAAGAAAAGCTTCTCTGGATGGAGGTACCTGTATGTATGCATATGTGTCTGGGACCTGCTGGTGAGCATCTGTGTGTAGTTTTACTTGGGCTTGTAGCACTTGAAGTCACTTCTCCCCAGACCACCCTGGAGTGCACGAGAAGGGCTTAGCAAACCAGTTGCAGTGCAAAGGATGAAGATGTGTTGGTCTCCTGAGATCTTGTCCATTGCTTCGGGAAAAAGCCACAATGCCACAACCTGCCTTTTACAGCCTGCCTCACAGAATTACATCTGCTAACCTAATTCTGGAAGCAGCAATTAATTCCAGAGGCAACAATCATCTGGTAGCATTGGGAGCCACCCTAGCATTAGCAGTGCCTCCTGTGCAGTCATCTCTGGCCTTCTGTGGCCACCTAGAGGAGGCTGTGCTTGACATTGCTCTGCCCTGTGAAGAAGTGAGTGAGTTTTGCATCCTGCTTTTACTCAAAGGGAAACCTTAGAAAGACACTTGAAGATCTCACATCCGACATCCAGAGAAGTCCCATGTCTTGTTTTGCTACTGCTCAGAGCTAAGGAATCAAAACCTTGAGTGTTGAACCCTGCAGAAATGGACAAGAGTACAGGGAGAAGATCAGCAAAAGACAGCTGAGCAGAATGGACAGAGGATCAGGCCTGGGAAAGGTTTCTCGGAGCATAAAACTCTGTAAATGTCCATCTTTTTTGGAGCCTAATCCATATATTTCCTACAACACATGGGAGTGCTTGAAACCTCAGCTTCCGACCCAAACTGGCCTGAGTGCTGAGCAGGTAACTATCCAATATCAGCACATCTAGGAACCAGCCAGCACGGAAATCCTGGAGTGAGGTAATCTTATCCACTCACACCTCATAAAGCCTTGCAGCAACCTATCTATCTGGGAAATCCAAATCCGGGTTTAACGATCCAGAACCTTGTTGTGAAGGTCAGAATTTGTGACATTTAATTTTTAATTATAATCCCAAAGAACTGAGGAGGCCCCATGCTTTCTTGTTAAAACCCATCTGGAAAAACAGACAGTAAGAAGAGCAGCAATAACACTGCTTGGATGATAGACACAGGAAAAAGGAGTGTCTGTAGGTGTCAGGCAGGTTATTTCACTCCGAGTACATGCCAGGAAACAGGAGAGAGCTGTGACTCCCTGTGGCACAGCCCCAGCAGCCTTTATTCCCTGCAGGGCTGCCTGGAGAAGGCCAGGAACCTCACGTTGATTTCACAGAGTGTGGTGGGTTGGTGTTTGTTTTTGTTTGTTTGTTTTGTTTTGTGGGTTTTTCTTCCTTGAAGGGGGGGGTCTGGTGGTTTGCTTTTTGGGTGTTTTTTTGGTTTTTTTTTGTGTGTGTTTTTTTTCTTTTCTTAGTGGAATAAAAGCAGAAAGCATTTACACTGAACTCCCCCTTTTTGCCAGATATTTCTGATTGACTTTATACCAATTTTTTCTTCTTTTTTTTTTAATGAATAAAAGTTAACCTGCATATATTCAAGGTGTTTATAAGGGATAATATCTGAATGAATTAACCTCTGACTCCTCATGAGTTCCTTGATATCTCTGTGACTGAGTATTCAGCCCAGAACAGAGCTCAGAACTGATCAATACCTGATGCTCCAAGTATTTTCATGTTTAGGAAATCTGAGGGATTGCTTTTCAGTTTGTTTTTTTCTCTGAAGTTCCTTTATTTCAACACATATCCATAAGGGGGAAGACAAAAAATTTTTAAGATGTTGCAACACACTTTATTTTGTCAGGCAAATAGCATTTTAGATATTCAATTAAATAGCAGTATGTTAAACTACATTTTGTTCTTTCTTACACACTATATGATGCATATTCACTGTAATGACAGTTTCATCATGCTAGGAACTTATACACATACCTACACTTTTAAAAACCAGATTTTCTTAATAAAACACACATATCTACAGTAACAACAATTGCAAAGAACACACTGTTAGGTCAAGATTTCAGCAAACTTTACAAACTACACAAAATAAAAATAGCAAAAAAAATATCAGTACACGGTGAAGTTCTTAGCAGAGAACATATCTTTACATTTGGTGAAGTTATGCCTAGAAGTCATTTTTGCTTTTGTATTTTTTTAAGGAATAAAATTATATACATTATTTAGTAATCCTCAAAATAGGAAGTATTAAATAGCACAAATAATATTACAGTCTTAAGTTTTGGTGTCACCTGCAGTAGAGGGCCTACTTTAAACAAATAAAAATTGCAGTTTGTCTATTCTGTACATTTAGGGCCAAACCCTCAGCTGGTATCAACCACAGTAGCTAAATGGACAGCAAGGAAGTTACATCAGTTTATACCAGCTGAGCATCTGGCTCCAACTACTCTATACATGGGGGAAGGCTCCTAAAGCATGAGAGCTTGGACCAGTTACACACTGACAGAAGCTTATTTTATATATATATACCGACGTTCTCATGCAGCACGAAAAATGTTAGCTTAAGTATAATCCCTTAAACAGTCATACCATAATAATGGTACATGAAGCAGATTTAAAAATATTATTTTATAATCGTATGAAACTCTGAGCTATGCTGATCGTTTTAATGGAATCCCTTATTGCCAATATTCTATTAGAAAACAGTGTAACTGTAATTTCTGAGGCCTAATGGGGGCCTATTAAACTATCACTGTACCTAACCACTTACGGGGCAAATTGTACCCTTAAATACCTATTAATCACTGTATTCCATCTGGAAGCAATTATGAGCCTCACAATAGACATCAGTATCACACTAACTCTGCAGTGAATCTGCTGGGAAAATAGGAAGAGCATGGCAGCATACAGAGAATATGCACTAGTGTCATTCCAGGAGGTAGTTCTATTTCATGGCACTCGATTTTTGGTTTGTCACTTACACACTTCAGAAGTCAGCCATCCTCAGGAAAAAAAAAGATTACAAAGAAAGCAGTGTGCGGCACTGAAAGTCAGCTGGCAAAAAAAACCCCAAACCCAAACAAACCCTTATTTTCCCTTACCCATTTCAGGTTCTTTTGTTTTTGTTTTTGTTGTTTTGTTTTTTTCTCCAGAGTTTGCTTTGCCAGGTCTTAGGGCCAAATCCTAGCTTGCTGAGGCCAAAGAGAAAGTTTCCTGACAATTTCCATAAGAAGGTCCTTAGTTACCAGTGGCTAAATATTGCTGAAATGTGCATTTAGGCCTCGATTAAGGAAAGCACTTAATTAGATGGCAATATATGTGCAGGCTGGCACTGCCATGTTTTTTGATGCAAGCAATAAGCCCACAAATTAAATTCAAAGGGCTTCCATCAGCATCAAAGGGATGTAGAGACAATGTTTAAGTGGTTAGATCAGGGCCCATTTCCCAGCTATTCTGCATCAGGTGGTGACAAAGTGACATATCTAAGCGATACCAGGTAAATACCAGCATTACCTCCATTACCAGATCTTTGGGCACAAAACCCCACGCCTTATAGAGTTATGCCCAGAGTATTCTAATAGATGTAGAAGTTTAACTCAACATAGCTCAGTTTTGAGCTGAACATCAGTTTGTATTTTTGAATAGTATCATAAATAATCATAATTTTTCTAAGGTACTCATTAATTTTTAATGTTTCAAACAGACACAGTGGCTTCCAGAACACTCTTACACAGTAAAATGATTAATGATTTGTCCCTATTTTTTGGCATTAGTGTTGCTCAAAAAAAAAAAAAAAAAAGTGATTGTTTTTCCTAGGATGGCTTGATGCACATTCACCCAAGTTTTAACAAAACTTACTTCATTAGACCTGACAGCTGCTTCATAAACAAACGATTTCTGTTTGAACATGACTCTCAAGTTCTATTTTTGGTTTTTGACCCAAACCCATTTTTCAGTTTTATTTTTCCCTCATTCTTTTTTTTTTCTTTTTTTTTTCCTGATCTGCTTTTCAGCAGTGAACTGAACGTAGGAAGAAATAGGGACAATAAGACGGAAAAGAAAAAGGGTACAAAGACTGGAAAATGGGAATGGTTTAATTAAAAAATTCTAGTTAAAATATTTGCAACTTTGAGAAAACAGTTGAAAAAATAATGTTTTAAAATTTTCAAAGATACTTATGAAATGTTTCCACATATGATTAAATTGGAGCTGGTTCTGCAATGTGGAACCAGCTCTGATTTAATCATGGAACAGAATAAAAATAATCTATGATTTTCAATTCTGAGTAAACACTAGACAGTATACCTACATTCTGTCCTTTGCAAAAAAATTGGAGTGTAATCTGTTTGAAAAATAGCTAAAATACCTAAGTCACTTAGGTGTTTTTCAAAATTCTGTGAATAATGAACATTCTCTTGTTACCTTTGTGCTGCTTATAAAGCTATGTGGTGTTATAGGACACCCTATTTAATAAAAATCAATATGAGCAGAGATATTTTAAGTTACATTCCAGAACTCATTAATTTATTACAACTCGTACTATGCACAATAATCAGTGCTTCCTTTGATAAAGTATAAATTCTCTGTTTTTCTTCTATTTGTTCCTTCATTTGACCTCTGAATGAATGAAACATTTCTACTATACTTTACTTGCTTCTTATCAGCATGCATTCACATGATTTGGACAATGAGTGAAAGCTGTAAACCCAATATTGAGCAGTAAACAAGAAGAAACTCATGTTCTTAAATGCAGTGCAAGGAAATCCTAGTACCATCCTACTCTGAGCATACATCTTAACCCAGATTCTTTCACCACCATTCTAGTTGGTACAGTTCCAGAGGTGCAAGTTAATTGTGTAAAAATTTCTACTCAGTTGTAATTGAATACTGAGGTGTTAAAGGCGAATCTGGTTTAAGATGAATACCCAGTTCTGCATCTAGGACAGAGCCCAGCCTAGTGTCAATAAGCATCTAGGAAAGAAAATGCTCCAAGTTATTTTCCTTAGATAAGTTACACAGCATTTCATTGGGAGAGAGATCTTTTCCAAGGCTTGTTGGCTTTTCATTTAATTTTTTTATCGTATTTGCTCAAATTTGTTCTCAATAGACAAATATAAACCCCCTACAGTGAGGACAAAGATACCTATTACTACAAAATAAAATTAGGATCCAGGTAATTGATTCCTTCTATTTCTACTTTTCCTGCTATTGATGAGGGCCTTCAGTTTGCTGTAGTCCCCTCTCATCTTCTGGGATTCTTCCCTATGCTGACCTGGCTGTCTGCTGTCTTTGCAGTACTGGTTAATCATCTGCATCTCGGAGTGGCTGAAAGCTCCCACAAAGTCCTTTGGGTGGAACTGCAGCGCTCGCACTGAGCTGGCCCAGCTCCAAGGGGACCACTTGTCAGTCATGACGGCCACCATCTCTGAATCCAACACCTTGAAGTTGATCTTTGCCAAGGTCTGCTTGAAGCTGTTCTCCGTGGCGATGCAGTGGTAAAGCCCCCGGTCGCTGTCCTGCACAGAGCGAATGAGGAGTCCTTGCTCAGTAGCTATGATCCTCTCATTCAGCTTGACCTGAAGAGCAGAAAGGCAGAAGGAACTTTTTAGGGAATGTTATGGAACACCACAGTATTGGACCTTTTGGTAAGCTTCACTTCAAACACGACTTCCTTTCCTGAAGTTACTATATTTTTATATATTTATCTCCCAGAAACCACCACTATTACTACCGTTGGGAGAGAGCTTACCTCAAGGCAGGCAAGTGTTGCTAAAGAAAACAAATTAAGTTTATTTCCTATGCTACAATAAATTTGATCAGGATGAAGACAGAGAAAAATCTGAAATAAGAGTTTTCATAATGTTCAAATAGCAGAGTTGAAGAAATGAACTTTTATTTGCCAGAATTACACCCCTGAGAATGTCTCTTCCAGCATCAGAGATTGCTGCTGAGACTCAGCTGAAGAAAGGTGCAGGACTGGAGGGGTTCATTTGGCATAGAACACAAAGTGGCTTCTCATTAAATATTTTGATTTTGAGCAGGTTCCTGGGGCTAACTTCTGAAGAACTCCTATCTGATCTTCTGAGGCTATAGCCCGGTATAAAAATTATCATCGCAGTGGCCTCAGCTGGGACTTGGCTCATCGGAAACCAAAAGCAATTCTACCCTCCTGTTTTCTTTCTGGCTTCAGACTCTGGACAGTCCCAGGAGACGGTCACATCATCCAAAAGAAGCAAGTTACCATAGTTTGTTGAGTTATCATCCGATATAAATGACTGTGCAGATGTCCTTTTGCGTATCAGCTGTGAAGTAAAAATGTCTAGTTCAAACCATTATGAAAGAAAACCGGTGCTGGTATTTTTGTGAATGATTTTTCTGTTTTGCTACTGCCCTTTGTATTATACCTAATACTCTTGTTTCACTTACTATAGTACTCTTCTGTTCTAAACTTCTGTAGGCATTGCGGAGGATTTCCAGAAATCTAAGGGCTTGAAATGTAGTTAACCCTTTGACTACTTTAGTTTGCCTGCTGCTGTTTGAAACTAATTGATTCTAATTCAGTTATTGAACATAAGAACAAAAAAGGGAGATGTTCTGTTGAAGCAAAGGGTTAAAAGAACTGCACCTATTGCCAGCACATGGCTTGAGTCTTTGAAGAGTAAGTGAGAAAACTCAGTGAGAGGCTTTTAAGTCTCCTCTGTTTTTGCAAAATGGTCTGATAGGAGAATAATGCTTTTCACTATTTATAACCTATCAACAGACACCACATTACTTAATGATTCCTTTTGAAAGATGTTTCTTTTTATTCATATAGTAACTGCCTTGGATTTGAAATAGATTTTTTCCCCTTTTAAATTACTTAAGGAAGGTACGTTCCCCATAAACAATCATAGTGTATATTACAGTGCTGAAACTCGAGAGCCTTAGAGACTGTGGTAATGGAAAATGTGATTGCACCATAGTGAGGAAATGCTTTTGTCAATACGTGTTCTTAGCCTGGACTAGTTTCTTGCTAAAGAAACCTTTCACATTTCTCCCACTTTTGCCTTTTATCTCTTCAATAGCACAGAGGGGCTACTGCAGGTTGACTTCTTCCTGAACTTTATGCCACTTACTGCTTTTGTGCCTATTTCCTTAGAAATCAAGAAGAAGTTCTGAGTGCTGCAAACCTTCAGTTTGCAATTAGTAAGGTGTGAGGGGAAAATTCTTTAGTTTTATGATAGCTGCTTTGATCTGATAGAAACCACTGGGGCTGAGGATGAAGTCCCAGCTATACTGAAGAGTCTGCTCTTATTCATATGAGTCAATGCTGGTCACTGTTGTGCATCACACAAGATCTCCAGCTTCACTGTAGCCAGACTGCCTGGTGAAAACACAAACAGTCCCCTGTCTTTGTCTGGGGAGAGGATGAGATGCTGACTGAGGATCCTCCCAGAGCTACTGCTCACATTACTCACCTCTTTCCTCCTGTCATTGTCTTTCTGTAGCAGCCACTTAATAGAAGCCTGAGGAGATTTAGGTGTGCATTCCAGAAAGGTGGTGTTGTTTTTCACTCCATACTGAACTATTTCTGCAGCGTTTCTGTATGCTAGAAAAAAAGGAAACAGGTCAGGATACTGTGAATGGTGATTTAATGTAGAAAACAGGTAGCTGTTTGCAATACAGACAAAATGAAGTATGCCTGATTCTGATATTGGCCAATAAGTAATTTAAGGGGAAAAAAATCAAAGAAATTAAATGAAATGTGAAGAAGCACATTCAGTTCCAAGTACCAATGTTTTTAGAGTGACATGGTCTCTTCTGAGAAATTAGGATAATGGTAAGCCTTGCTGATGGAGTAGCTGAGCTCAGGGACATTTTTCTCTGAAATTATTTCATTCTCCACTATTCCAAAGGAGAATGAAGCATTTAATATATTTCTTCACACTTCACCATTCACAATGAGTTAAGGGAGTATGGTTGTATGACCAAAATAGAGCAGCATGCCCTAAAGAAATCTCCAGCTACTCCAGCTGCAAGCAGCATCACAGGGAAGAGAGAGAGAGAGCAAGCTGGGCTCCTGCTCCTCTGCTTCTCTTCCAACACAAGGAAGGGACTTGGCTCTCAATCTTAAATGTGATGAATATGTAGACAGGCCAGCAACAGAGAGAAAGACAGATTTATAGCACTGCAGTAACACCTGGGCAAGTGCTGAGCATATGTCATCGCTTAGACTTGTTGTGTCCCTTTATAGTCTCGATAGATGAACAACTGGCAGTCACTGACAGAAACTTTTAGGTGCCTAGTGCTTGGCCCAAACCATAATATTTGTGCTGAAAACAAAACACCTCCAGGTTTAAAAGCTTGCTTCATATATGAAATACAATTTTCTTTTTTATTTTTTTTTTTTTTGCAAAAGGAGCAATGGACACCAAATAATACGAGAAATGCAAATACCCAGAGGTTACATGTCTAAAATCTGACTCTGTTTTTGAACAGTCCTAAGACTGGTTTTCCTCAGACTCAACTCTATCTCCCGTTCTTTTCAGCTACTTTAATCAACTGATATGTGACATTGGAATCTATTTTACTAAAGGAAGGCGACTGCCTGGTTCTAGTCCTTCAAACCTTTTTAGCACACTTATGATGTTGTACCAAAACCAATTCTAACTTTTAGGAGAATGATGTGGAAATATTTTGCATTCAAAGGCCACAAGCTACCAAATAACTTATCTGTGGGTTGACCTATCTGTAGCTGTGGAGAATCAGAGGTGTACCACAATATTACTTTTATGTATACTGGAACTAGATGTACCACAGACTGTCTAACTGATCAATATATATCTAATGTTCTACCTGCTCCATAATACTGCTACTTATACATGCTAAGAAAAAGATTGAGAGAACACAAATGCATTTCTCTAATGGCCATAAGGGCTAACACAGGCATAACAATATTAAACAGACATTTGAAAAGCAATCATAAAAGACCCTTAGTTCTTGATGATCTATTTAAAAATTACAATATGCCAAAAATATTGAGTTTATACATGCCTAGAGGTCTAAGGCAAACAACCTACCCAGTTTAAAGACTTCGATTCAACATTATAGTTCTCTGTGAACTTGGAAGATTTCTTCCTATTGCCTGGCTCTCTGCTCTTTTGTCCTGTAAGTAGATTTCATTTTTTCCCCCAAACATAGTAGTTTTGCTATAAATGGCCCTAATTATATTTTGAAAGAGTCTAAATTGCTGTTTCTTTTTATCTTGTTTTCCACCAGGGAAGTGACTGCCATCTACCTATGCTATATCCCACTGCTGCCACTGAGACATCCTTTATAAAGTTGCTAAAACACATAGATCTATAAATACACCCACATCAAAAAAGTGGTTGGAAAACAAGAAACCTGTTTCCCAAGACTGTCAAAGTTGAAATATTTGTTTCCCCTCAGCCCAGAAAGCAGAGAGTTGACATTCTCATATTTTCCACATGGAATGAGAAGACATCCACCCCTGGGACAGACAATGGGTGGGAGGTCATGGCACATGGCTGCAAGGGAGGACACACAGCTCAAGTTGCTTCAGTATGGATCTCTCAGAGCTCAGGTGCATATTCTAATGCTGGGGTCACCTTTTGTAATTACCTGTCAAAGCTACTCGGTTTCATATAAATGACCTAACACTGAGTCACGGGGAAAGATCCATTTGAGCTGAGGAATCTACGCCTGACTCACTGTTGTGGTCTTTTTTGATCCAGGAGATTCTTCTGAGACCCCATGGAGACTGTTTTAGAAGAATTATTATCAATGTAACCTTTCACAGGTAATTCTTAAAACATTGCTCTTTTATTAAAAAAAAAAAAAAATCAGTAAAAAATTTACAGTCAGGTCTATTATTTGGTCTCCAGATGGTGTGGACGAGAATGTATTTCAAGATTTAGGATCAAAAGCAGAAGTGACAGGAGAATAATTCTCTGATATGTGCCCTTGGTCTGATGGCATATATGATCAACTTCTCATTTTGAGTATGATGAACTGTGTATTTCATGGTTCCTCATTTTATCATATATATGCAAGTTTCATGCAATTGCAAGAAAAGATGTTGAAACCAAATCAAAACAAAACTTGGAAAATAATTATGCTTTACCAGTAATCCATAAAGATAATGTAAGATATGATGAACCACGCAAAGGCTCTTTATATAGCATGAGGATCTCTAAATTATAGTACCTTTCAGGTTGAAACCTCGGCACTGAGTCAGAGGGTTTCCATGTCTCACATCTTGCCTGCGACTCCTCCTGCAATAGTTTGTAAAAAACAAAAATGTTATTCCAAGATAGCTACACTGCAAATAAACACTTTTTTTTTAAATTTTTTGATGTTTGTTTGGGGTTTTTTTATTAGATCAACCATTAGGGATTGTTCATGACCTACTGTGACTGTGCTTTACTCTTGGGAGGCTTGCTGGAGTGAAGATACTGTTTAAGTGAAGTATCAGTTTGTTGAAGTATATAAAATGGTTGTAGTTTTGGTATGTAAAGTAGTTTTCCAATGGAGGTACAGAGTTGGAAGGATTAGAAGTGATACATGAAAGAGACGTCTGTTCACTCATGGAAGACCTAACATTCAAAGCCAGAAGCCCCAGCTGGAGCTCTTCATAAGGCAACCACCTAAGAATGAGATGCATGAGAGTCACAGTGCTCATACCTAATGCACCAGCAGAAAATTATGATATAGGGCATGCTCCCTCCCCAGTTTTAGCAGGCACCATATTTTTGGAGCCTGGAGCCACCTTGGCATCAGTGTGACTGAAGAGTTCATCCAGAATGGTGGAAAGCTAAGACTCCATTCTGGTATTTACTTGAGGGATGCAACTATTTCCAAAATATAATAGAACTCAGTAAGTATCATAATACTTCTAAATGGAGACTTTATTACATTATCTGGATGACTGATACAAAATCGTAATTCTGTACCAAATTGTTGTCTAGGGAGCTTACTGGGACTGGGAATACTGGCATTTCAGTCCTCCTCAGCTGGGAGATCACAGCTCACAGAATTCAGCACATGAAAAGCTGGTACACAAATTTTTTAATCGTAAGATATATTATTTGCTACGTATTCTGTAAGGTAGTTCAGTATTTATCAAGTTCAACTAGAGAAATGTATCGGTGATAGGTTGTTGCAACTGGATGCTGCTGGGATATGTAACAGCTGTATTCTGAACCATTGCACTGAGGACTCTCAGGATCCAAAGCCATAAAAAGCCCCGGGAGCTGCAGTACCACTGAGTGAAGGGTGATGCCTCTATGGCCACATTATTCCCAGTAGTGCACAAACACCCAGAGATAGTGCTTATAATCCTCTGTCACCTGATCCTTCACTGCATTGTTTTAAAAGGAAACATTGGAAAGGTAATGTTTCAAAGGAGTAATTTCTGACATTCCAAGTATGGTTTTCATGTTTACCATCAAAAATATTTCATGTTATGCCTTGGGTTTTTAACCCTTGTAAAGTATTTATGTGAGTCCAAGGAGATAATGGAGAATTTATGAGTGAATATCAGGATTCCTGTGCTACTGTGAGCTGCTCCACACTGTCAGAAATGGCATGTCATTTGCATTAAGCACTTCTGAGAACGTAAACTTACAGGCTTATAAAAAAAGGAAAGTGGTGGTTAGAAAATTAAGATAATACTGTCAGGTGTTTGGGGGTAGATCAGTGTTGGATGAGGAACTACAGTAATTCATGGGAGACAAAAGTGTCAAAAGAAGGAAATAAGCAAATGCATATAGCAGAAACTACTGTCTAGACTATAGGATTTGGCTCTAATCACCAGTGTTTTCTCCTTCATACTCTGTCTTGTTAGATAAAGGGACTACTCATTTCCTTCACATAGGAAAACCAGACTTTCTTCCAGTCAGTTTTAGGGGTTTATTTTGGTTTGATACAAAAATTGCAAACAAAATGTCACTGTGAAAGCAAGCCCCAGTGGAAATAACCCTGGGTGGGTGTATATAATGGGGATGGGAAGGCATCCACTGGAAACTGCAGAGGCTGGGTACATCTGTCTGCTCCTTGTGCCTTCCAGCAGCTAATGTCAGTGTAGGAGTAAGGTGGCCTGAAACTTGGGGATTTTTATTTTCTCTCCTGCCCCTCATCTTCTGATCTTTGTTCCATGGAAGAAAACCATCAGTTTGCAGACTTGTGGCTGAATGAAAGCAGTAAAAACCGCACGTACTTTACCAATTGCTACCTGGCCAGTTTGGGCTTTACTTTGTAATCTCAAATGAGGAATGAGTCCAGAAAACTTTGCAATAATAAAAGACAATTGTCTTTAATCCTAGCGGATGACATTGTTATCAGCTGTTTGGATCACTGGAGCAGATCCAAGCTTTGCCTTTCTCCCTCCATGAGGATACAGGAGCAGAGCCCAGAAACTGTATGTGCAGTTCAGGTGCAGGCAGTGAGCACGGTGACACACAGTACGTAAAGCTCTGGCACAGAACCATAGAATAGAATCATGGAATCATTTGGGCCAGAAAAGACCTCTAAGATCATGGAGTCCAACCACTAACCCAGAACTGCCAAGTCCACCACTAAACCACGTCCCTAAGCACCACATCTATGTGTTTTTTGAATGCTTCCAGGGACAGAGAATCCACTACTTCCCTGGGCAGCCTGTTCCAATGCTTCACCCTTTCAGTGAATGAAGTCTTCCTAATACCCAATCTAAACTTCCTCTGGCACAACTTGAAGCTGTTTCCTCTTGTCCTCTTACTTGTTACCTGGGAGAAGAGTCTGACCCCCACCTGGCTACACCCTCATGTAGTTGTAGAGTGCATGAGTCTGAAAGGTTTGGCTCCTCTGCAGTAACAGTTCATTGTGTATTCTGTAACTTTATTTGTATGTGAACTGAAATCTTAGTGAGACAAGAACTCACTACGGCCTTCTGCTCTCAAATACTTCCCCTGGGAGCAGGAAAGTGGCTCCTGTTTTGCGTAAGAATTATGGGATAGACTATTAGCTCTGTTGTAAACTAAAGAGAAATAACTTTCCCTGTCTGCTTTAATAAATCTCATGTCAAAAACCTCAAATCTGTAGGCATTACATGGAAATCACATTTGCCTAGAAGTTCCCTGGCAATAATTCTTCTCACTTAGGAGCAAATGAGCAACAAAAAATATTAATGAATTTATTCCTCAGACAGCCCCAGAGATATTTAGCTGTATTTAGGGCTATCACAATTACATTCATAGAAGGCAACTGAATTTAAACAAAAGGAACAAATGTTTCACTGATTTTTGTGTGCGTGAGACAGACAGATTAATATTTATGATTAGGAATAATTTTTTCCTTTTCTTTTTTTTTTTTTGTGTCCATTACTTTAAATATGAAAAGCCAAGCTCTTTATCATACGCTCTTGCAGCATAAAATCCTAGGTGATGAATAATTTCAAGCACAATCGGTATGTAGGTATTGTTTGTACATGCTGATGAAAGGAATGACATCCCACTTCTCCATCGCTCTACAACACTCCAGGGTACGCGGCAGAACAAAAGCCTTCTTTCCTTGCAGATTTCAGGGGGCTGCTTAACACTGCTCACCTTTTTCCTGTGGGATAAAACCTGGAGCAGGAGTTGCCATCCCAGGCGCAGTAGGGATCTCGGGCCAGGCAGCAGTCAGCACAGGCGGTCCCGTAGATGTGGCAGCGATGCAGGGACACCTGGGTGACCCCTTCGTCTGAGCTCACGTACAACTGTTGCTGCAGGAGGAAAAGGAAAGATTTATTTCAGATGTGCAGGAGTTTCACCCGAGACTTGGCTAACACACCTAAAAACCTTCCAATTAATTTTGGAATTAATTCAAGAACCAATAGGGTAGCCACTAATATACATAAATTCAATATAAACAGGAATCTCCCAGCTCAACAGGCCTATAATATTTCTACCTTCCTGCTAGAAAACATTTAAAAACACTCGGGAATGTAATGGATTTTTGGACATTGAGTGTCATTGTTCTGTTCTCGGGCAGACAGGCTGAGTTAATATTGCTCAGATTTGAGAACTTGGTTCTTATTCAGTGAGGATTATTGGCTCGAGTCTTTGAACTAAGTATTTTCTCTATACATAGTCACTTTAATAAATATTATGCAGAGTTCCTAGTTGGATTCTCCAGTGCACAGATTTCCAAGATGTAAAACCAAGAGATTATGTTGAGGCTTAGGGCCAGATTCTGACAGCCTTATATACCTGGAAAAATAAGCCAAAAGAACTTTCATAATAAATCAGAGCTTTTGCAAAAGAAGTTCAAAGTGAATAGGTCATTACCAAAACCTGGCCCAAAATTCCTTTTTACTCCAAAACAATTAATCAATTATTCTTAAAATATAAATTAATATTGAACAAAACCATTAAAACTACTTTAATCTTTTTGGCATAAAAGTCGAACATTACAATGAATTCAATTTAGTGAATGATGTTTACTTAGTAGTAGTTTTGTGAAATATTGAGCAACATCTTGCTTGCAAAATCACAGAATACATATTTTTAGTTTGCATGGCTAACATTTCAGCAGAAATCCTCTCAGTTGTTTTTTTCTTATTGCCATCCTTTATTATTAATAAACCAAGTGTACAGTTGCACCATGGACCCAACAGCCCCAACAATGTCTTTTTACAATGATCAGACAGACTTCCAAGGGAAAATGTCTGTTTAGGACTTTCAGAAAATAAGGGGAGGGCAAATTTCCTCTTTTAGTACTTTTTTTGGTTCTTTAACTGACAAACAAAACAACAAAAAAAAATTGACATTTTCAATGATTTAGAAATGATACATAAGAACAGAAATTTTATCTTAGTGGCTGTGGGGCACGTAAACAGCTCCTGCAGAAGTCAGTCAAGTTTTCCATATTCATTATGGAAAATCTGCCTGTGTTTAGTATGCTCCACAAGAATTGATATCCTAACATCTTTAAGTCAATTTGCTTCTCAGTTAATAAGCACTAAGTAGCCATTCCACTTTTCTTTACCTTTTTAGATGAAATCTTCATTGTTGTTATAGGAGAATTACTCTGAAAAACAAAGTTACAAACCAGATTGTCAAGAACTCTCTTTTTAATACTGTCCCAACGTTAAGATTTAAAAATCACTAAAACCTAAGCCATATCTAGAAAAAGCATACATTTTCATATCCTGGAAAGGCATCACTCACTTCTACTAATTTTTTGCTATTTTCAGAACTAAACATATGACATGTATACAGTTAATGTTTTGCAAATTGTTTTGCAAGACCTGCATCTGTGCTATCTCAGCAATATAGGAGCAATGTGTTTTGAAGCCATCATTTTAACTGCATAATAAGAAACAACTTTTTTCTTAGATGATGATGATAAGGAAAAATCATACAGTAGTTCAAGATGCAAATAAGAATATGACATATTTTTCCTACAAATTACCTATAGTACATACAGTTTGGTTACCACCCTATATACAAATTCGGATTATCAATGACTAGAATATTTAAAGTCTGTATTCTTGAATGTTTCTTTCCCACAGACAGTATACTACTGTGTGTCATCAGAGCAGTCAGTGTCTATGTCCAAATCAAATGCTAAAGAGCTGGAAAAGAAATTATTACATTCCTTGCCTTAAGCAAGTGATACAAGTCATTATTCTCATCCAAACAAGTGATAAAATAATGGTAACAAAAATATTCAGCATTTCTTTAAGATTTAGCATTTGCTCAGTCACAAAGGAAAGCCATAACATTGGGTTAGGATTAATTGCAGTCGACTACAACACAGCAGGGAGGTCAGGACTAGAAAAACTGGCAGTGAATCCTGTGAATTGGCATAGGTTTGAAGGAGTTTGGAGCTGCAGTAGTACTTCATGAACCGTCTGGAGACTCAAGGTCAAATGCAACATTGGATTCAATGTCACATTCTCCTTTCCTTGCTTATACTCTGGAAGAGAATCACTGCTTTGCTGCTCCCAATATTTACTAGCACACAACCAGTGACCTCATCCCTGCTCTCTTGGCGAGACTCATCTAAATACCACCGCGCTGCCACACAGATTGCAAAGGTAGGGGTTATGATATCGTGATTTCCAGGGTTCAGGATAAAAAAGTCTATGCATAGAAGCCCAGAAACTAGGTTTAGGGTGAAGATCCCTCTCAGCTCACCTATCTATTTGCTATAATAATTTCCATTTCAGTAAGTGGAATTAGCAATACTTTAGTGAAGGGTATGATTTTAGGTAATTTAGGGAAATCTTTAACAAAAGCCTAGAAAGATTAATTGTGCCTTTATGAGGATTAACAAAGAGTGTATTCTTTTTCTTAAAGAAACTGTTATTTCTGCCTAGATAAAAAATCCTAATTTTTTCTTTTTGTATTCCCTCAGTGAAACAGACCATGACAAAACCCTTAACTAAGTTTATAGATGCATACTACCATTTGCCCTGAAACTACTGTTTAATGAATAGCCCATTCAAATATTTGAAAGGGATTTTTCAACACGAGGAAGAACATTTTCTTTAGGTTATTACAAGCTGTTACATGCCAGAGTGATTGACAGAGGTTATTCCCTTTTTTCTCCCTGTAGTTCTTGTGTTTCTTTTCAGTTTATGTTGTGTTAAGCTCATAGCTTTCTTGACTCCAGTGTCATGTGGCTTTGAAGAACTGAAGTTAAACAAAAACAACACTAATTTGATTCCATTCTGCAGCTCAGAACTAGGAAGATTATCAGATAATCAAAGTCCAGAAGTCTTAGATTCCATCTGTAAATAGTGACAGTCTCAATACGTGATGCCAATGATAAAAGTTGCCTTCTGGCAGCTACTAGAACATGACCTTGTAAAAATGTGATTTTCAAAATCCTTCTAGACAGTACAGCAACATAAAAAATAAGAAACTGAAACATAGGGGAAGAAAAGGACTTCATCTAGCTACAGCCTTCATAACAGTGGACATTTTGTATTCCTCTCTGTGTATTTATCAAGTTGACAGTATGCACATTTACTTGATCTTTTATCAAATCACAGTTGCCATTGCCAAAGTCTGTTAGAACAAAGTGTTTGTGTGAACATACACATTGGAAGAGTAAAAGTAGGAGCAAGCCAAACCTGAAAAACTTCCAACTCTTCTAAAATGAGTTCTCCACTTGCAGAGAAGTTCGTGGGTAGGACAACAACTTTCTGTACGGTTCCTTGATCTGGAAAAGATGAGAACAAGTGAGACCACATGAAGAGAGACCAAGGAGTGAGAGAAAGAAAAAAGGAGATCAACCTTTATTAATTATAAAAAGAAACCATCAAAGCAAGTACTATGATATTGAGAAAGATACAAAATGTTCAGTAAATTTGAGGGTTTGGGGTCAGAAAGAATAATAAGATGATTCTTAAAACAGGAATACTCTATATCATAATATTCTCATATATGAACATGAAGAAGTCATGGTGAGATTGGAGTTACAGTAGTACCATTAATGTTACCATTCTACACAAAAAGATCAATCAAAACCCAATCTTCTGTAGTAGTTGCTGTAGACACACAGACAGAGGCAGAATCTATCCTAATGATCTTAAAGTAAAACACAGCAATATAAACATGTAAAAGGGAGCTACTTCAGAATTTAATACATATTCATATTCAATAATAAACTGCTGTGATAACTGAAGACATAATAACTCTATCTACACCTAAACACAGTAAGATAAAAACCTTTTCTTAGGAAATTCAAACAATAATCAATCATTACATACTGGTAGGAGTTAATATTTTGTCCATATGGTAAAAAGGAAAAGCAAGGTGAAGTTATAGTAGCTATTATATCATAGCTGCCCTCTCAAAATACAGTTCCAAGCCTCCCAAATCCACTCAGATCAAAGGAGCAAGAAGCAGAATGGATGTGGCATTGACAATGTTTTTGCAGGGTAGATGTGATGAGTGAGACCAAAGGGAAATTTGTGATTAGTTTTCTGAATTTGTCATGTGGAAAAAAATATATGAGATGAAGGGGTCCATCTGTGAAGGCTCTTAAAGGCTGAGACAGCCACTGAAGTATTTCTTCATGTGTGTGGTGTGACAGAAAAGGCAGACTGTGGGATAATCACGAGGACAAGTATTTTTACTTGGAAGAAGCACAGCACATAGAATTCCTCTTGCCTGAAAGGCTTAGAAATTAGCCTGAGTAGAATAAATCTATTTGCTCAGTATTGATTCCGAGGAACGAGAACACATGGTATAGATTCTCTTCAGCCATCAAAAGTTTTATGAGCACTGTAGAGTTGTGCAGTTAGTAAAATATTAGTACAGCACAATACAGGCAAGACATGTATTTTTACAAATTTGATACCAAGGAAAGGAAATTTCAGCTTCCTGTTTGGCAATTCATAATGCAGACAATATAAGCTGAAAAAGTGCAATTTTGCTTTTGCTTTAAGGTCAGTGACTAATTTTCATAGCTAGAGCTGCAGGGCAAGTTGGTTACTGTAAATAATTTACATATTTTATTTCCCCCGAGGAAAAAAAATTATAAGGATAATAACATAATCAACAATTTTTTTTTTTTAAAAAAGGTTTGAAGCCAGTATATTAATATTTACTGACTTGACCACACACAGAGAGCATACTGTAGTATTTTGTCTTAAAGAAAAGAAGGAAAAGAGAAATCGAAAGCTGACAAGACTTAAAAATATGTAGCTATCAATTTTACATGCTCAGGGCACGTTAGGCATGAATTTTTCATGAGAATTTTCTATGGAGACATTTATTCTCATTATACAATGGCATGATAAAACAGTTCCTTCTGAAGAATCTTTACTGAAACTAAATCTTGTGGTAGCACAGCTGTGGTCTAGCCTGGGTGCCAGTATTAGCAAAGCTGTGAGAACCTGAGAGAGATTTACTAACTGTCAGGACCCACCAAAGCTTTAAACTGCTGCAGATGTATCCCTCGTTGAAGTAAGGAGAAGCCAGTGTGTGTATTTCTGCTCCTACTAAATGGACAAACCCACTCACAAATATACACTGCTCCAGTCCAGTCCACCTCTGCCTCTTTGCACCCTTTAATCAATTCCCTCTCTCTAATGTTAGACTCTACTTATAAAACACTTAATCAGAAGTGCAGGAAGGAGCTGCAGCCTTTTGTGGGTTTTTGCAACTGCCTTTTGTGGGTTTTTTTTGCAACTGACATACAGGGCACTAACCATGCTGACAGTGACCTTACCTGCAAAGGAATGTGAAGCTGCTGAGCCTCTGAAGAACCGGTTTATGTCAATGATCCATTAGCACATGCCATACATTTAAAATTCCTAAATTGTCTTGAGTCCTCAAACATTGCCCTGAACTGAAATCAGAACCTGAGGGGAGATTTTATCCTGGGCATGGGCACAGAAAATACTGATAATGCCTGAGGCCGAGTCCTTGTATCCTAATAACCTTTCCTATTTGTAAAGTAGGGTCCTATCTACCTTTTTGTCACACCCCAGCAAAACACACAGAGTGAAGGACTGTTTACCTTGGTATTCATTACCTTTGACTCAATATTTTACCATTTGATTTGATTCAGTATTGTACCATGAGGGACAGATCCTTGCAGAAAGGAATGTTCTATTATTTTAAAGGAGACTTAATACAACAATTAAAATAAATATTCAAGTAGGCAGTAGAAAGCTATTAATTAAATTAAATTACTTAAACCAATGGACTCCAATAGTCTCTACATATATAAAAATAAAACTATTTCCAATAATACATAGCTTATAGGCTATAGTCCTTCCATTGCTTCTAAAAATAGTCTTCCTCCTGTTCCTCAGCCTCTTCCTTAATAAAGGAAAAGCAAATATTTGTGTCCAATCCCCCCTTCTTATTTCTTTCTCAATAGTACTGCTGTCTACAGTGTAAAGACAAACTGGTAGCTAACAAATCAAGTCACTTACACGTGTTAATGTCAGAAAACTTACAGTATATTTGAGTTTTGTTGGAAATATTATTTGCTTATTTTTACTAATGGTGAGACAGTGAACTAAATTCCCTGGGTCAGAGGGAAAGTTGGAAGGGTTGCAGCACTGTGCACTGCAGGAGATTTATGCAAAGTAGCAGTGCCTGAGCTGTTTCCCAGTGTATTTCACAATAGATAATCTTTTGCACTGTAAATCAGGCAGAAGAGATCATCAAAGAAGTACAAGTCAAATTTTTTTCAAGTTTGGATCAATGTGTGAAATTATAAGTCAATTCTGTAAAAATTTCGCCATTTACTTGTTCCTTCCAGAAATCCACTTGAAAACAGTCCTATGATTTCACATTGTCATGAAAAAGCAACTGTGTCTCCAGAATATGAATCCACCACTAGAAGTGAAGAGGCAGATTTCTGCTCACCACTTCCCTGACTTTTCACCGGGAGCTGTTTGCAGCCTCACATCAACTCAGCAGTCTGAGAGTTAAGGGCAGACAGACAAACAAAAAGGAATCTCCCTCAAGCTGACAGCAAGAGGACAAGGGCAACTCAAAATGTTTTTCCATTTCAAACCTGCTTAATGACTGCAGGTGTCCCAGCTTGACATGAAGGGCAATGATAATGAGATCACGTTCCCTCTGAGAGGACTAAGAAACTGCGAACAGCAAGGGAGGAAAGTAAAGACTAAAAAATGGTGTAGAAAGTATGCAGAGTGAGAAATAAATGGAGAAGGAAGGTAGTCCAATAAATGGTTCAAGGAAAGAAGCAGAAGAGACAAATAATAATAATAATCATCATAATTATAATAATATTCCTTGAAATGCAAGGTGTGATTCTGGGCTGATGTTAATCAGCTAAGCTTCATCAATACCAGTTAGATTGTGCCTGATTACACTAACTCCCAATAGGGCTGACCACAGGCAATGGGGAAAAGCAAAGCTTGATGAACAGAAATTAAAAATACAGAGATGTTTGGCTGAATCTGAAGGTCTGAGTTTAAACATCATTCTCTGAATTTTGACTAGCTTTTGTTTCCCCAGTCCTAAGTGAACACTGCAGCTGTCAGTAACTTGAGCCTCAAAGAGAGTCAGGACCCATCTACCCCTGAGCCACATCACACACACAAATTGAACAAACAACAAATAAAAAACCTGAATTTTCCACATCATAAAAAAATGACTGCAACGGGCAGCAATGTCTACTTTGACATGAGATTTGAGACACTTCTTCCCCTCCCCTGATGTGTCTGACACTGCTGGAGACCTTCTAAAAACTCTTCTCCATGTTGTACCTGTCAGCCTAATGGCAGCTTAATTGTTTTTGGTCTCTAATCTGAGTTGAACCTGATGCACACAAATAACATTACGAAGAAAAAAAGAAAGCAAAAAGTTTACCAAATGTTTAAAATCTGTCTGTCTGAGAAGATGTTGAGGCTCAGCAGAGCACCTGAGACGGTGGCAGGTTAGCAGTCAGGGCTGACAGCCACGTTCCCACGCCCTCGGCTGTCCTTAGGTGTCTGCTGTAACTCAGAGCTCCCACCACACACACTAATCTCTCTGTGCTTAGTTCACTCATCTGTCAAATGGGTGTAATTTTTTTCCAGCTCATAGTACCACTGTGAAGCTTCATAAAATTCAAGCTGCATCAAAGGACAAAAAGACAGATACAAATGCTCACACTTGAGGGCAAAATTTTCACATAGCCCCAGCTTGGTTAAACTTTTGGGACACAATGTGAGCTTGGTTTGAATAAAAACTGAACAGGGGAAATGAAGCAGGTGGAGGTACACCCTCTTAACTTACACATCCTCTTAAAAGGCTGTGAAAAAGCTTCGGATGAGTAGGTCAACAAAAGGTTTCGAATGACTCAGGCACTATGACCAAGAGGAAGAAGGAAACTCTGTCTGATGCCTGTTGTGTCACTGTTGTGCAACATCAGCTTCCCAAGCTCACAGCCACGAAGTTGTAGCCAGGAAAACTATGGGAGGCAAATCTTCTCTTCTGACCAGATTATCTCTCTTCATTAGACTCTGTAGATCATTACGTGATTTTGGCTACTGCCTTACTGGAGGCTACCACTGTCAGCAAGGGTTAGTTTTCCAAAAAGACAGCCATCACATGACACCACGAAAATGAGTATTACAACCTTATGCTCTGGAGGCACTTACTGCATCGAGACTTTGAAAACAAATGTTGCATCAGAAAAGAAAAGATAATAAGAAACATCGATCAACCTCACGCCACATCAGATGCATGGGGCTGACATTAATCATCTGAATAAGTCACATTGAAGTCTGAAGTGCCTTTTTACAACAGTAACTTAGATCTCTTTCCACGAAAACATATCCTATCTTGATAGCAAGAAGCTGAAAAAAAATCCCATTGGTGCCCATAGCTGTTTAATGTACCCAAGTTTGACCCAGACATTTAAATATTTTCATAACACAAGAGCAATAAAAAACCCCATGCATAATCTTTTAGTTGTGCAATCTGTGTGTACTTTGACCAAAGGCTTTCGTACTGCAAGCAGTAGGTGGCATGCTTAATAAATAAATATTAATCTCATGAAAATGTTCTCATGGTGTTTTACTGCTGTTTTACAATTCAGATGGAAAACAATCTACCAGTGGATAAACAGAGAATATTGAAAGCTCAGGTTGTTTAGATATAACTGAAATGAGTAAAGAAATTACAGTACAACTCTAGGGTGAATCCAAAAACTTCATGACTAAGCCCCGGCCTATAACGGAAACGGGATAACAAAATCAGAACTCTAATCCCAAACTCCTGAACTGAATATGTTATTACTCATTGCATGAGGAAAAAATATCATCAGCTTTGCCCTTGTCAAAAATGCAAATGAGTGATTAAATTCTTTCCAAGGAAAACTATCTCTTGGGTTTCTGTTTGGAAAGACAAGGTCGACAGCACTCTTCTCTTGTAGCACTGCTCTCTACCAGTCAAGACTTGATCCTTACTCCAAGTCAGCCCATGTCAGAGAGGAGTGAAGAGATCCCTTTGGCTAAACCTCACAAAATCAGTGAGTTTTGTTACATGCTTTAAGAGTCTTCATTCTGAAAAGCAATGGCAAAGCAGGAGATGGTTATCATTTGAAAAGTGGGTGGAGTGCCATGAGATCAACATCTGTCCCTGGGATTTATTTTGTTTGTTACGTAGGCAATCAAGGGAGAAAAGCCGTGTATTAACTGTGGGCATGGACCAGCCCCTGTACTCAGCACTTCTGTCTAGGAGGGCAAATGAAACACTACATTTAGTTCACATTAAAGTGAAGAAATTACAAAGCTGCCTATACCCTCCTGTGCCATGCCTACATGATGAAAAAACACTGGGGTTCTCAGAGCTTTATATTTCTGTTATTCTTCACTTACATTCAGGAACTGATTTATTACTAGGGCTATCGAGGAGGAAGAGAGGAAAAGCTAAACATTTTGTGTGCTCTGCATCTGGCAAGACATAAAACACTCCGATTTCAAGCATGAGACAGGTCACTGACAGTGACAGACATGGCTGGCAACATCTCAGTTCAGCAGCAGTAACTCATCATCTGAGCTGAGTGTAATTGTCACCAGGTGTCAAGTCCCATTGTCTCTGTCTGTGGGGCTCCAGGCTCCCAAGGAAATTATCACATGAAATTCTCCTATACAATGTGGTTTTTGCATTTGATGGGATGAACTGACACCAAAGCAAATCCCCTCTGCATTCCTTTGGACACTTAATATCTCTATCAAATCCTCCCGAGTCTCACAGAAAGCAGAGAATAAAGAAAACAAGTTTCTCCTCTCAGTGGCTGAAACTTGATCACTTTTATTTGAAAGGGCTGAGAAATGCAGTAACTTACATTGCATCAATTTCTTTTGAGGAAGACCTTGGAAGCTATTCATGTCCTGTGCCCTACTCAGGAAGAATAATGTGTCCCCTCTAACTAACTAGCAAGCAGAAAATGATCCTTGTCTCCAGAGTAATGAAGAAGATAAACCAATGAATATAAAGTATCAAGAGCTTCAATTTACTTATCTGATCCATAATGGGTCCTGTGCTGATACACAGAAGAGGATTAACATAATGTAAGAACAAGCTAAAGTAGTTTGATGGCTTTTTTTAACAGCTTACAAGTGTCTGTATGAGACCACACTGATCATCTAAAAACAGTCAGATGGTCATCAAAGTATAAAATGAAATTACCTATCTTTATGTCTTGCAGAATTATTAAAATGCTAACAATTAATTTTGTGATTTCATGCACATTTCAGCTTTTCAATACATTTCCAGTTTTAACTATCACTGCCACATTAAAAATCCTATGTGAGTTCGAAACTTATGTCTTGATCTTTCCCACTAATGTTTAGTAGAATGTTTCCCCAAATAACATTAGATGTTTATAGAGCATTTTAAAACAATGTCACCACTATATATTTTAAAAAATAAAACAGGAAGGGAGAGAATCCCTTCCATCAACCTGCTGGCTGGATATACCTCTGCTTATACAGCACAGTATGCAGCTGGCTCCCTTGGCACACAGACACCCTGCTGATTTTGATAGCTCGGGAGGTTTTTCTAAGAAGATTGTAGAGACTTCCTGTTAGTCCTGTCCCTTGAGGGGACATTCTTGAGAGATTTTTTAGCACCCACTTCCTAAATCTATTATAACAAGATGGTTATTCCCAGCCCCATGTGAGTTTGTTGGCAGACATGGTTATTCTACAAACAGAAAACAACCAGGACCCCAATAACATGTGAACCATAAAAGCAATGTAAACCACTTCTGTAATCATTTTCTGATGTTCAGACTTGTATTTGTTCTCCCAGAATTCTTTTCCTTTGTTCTACTTGAAACCATCTGTAGTAAAAGAGATTAGCCTTTGTGCCTATCAACCTATAATGACCTGTTAAGCCACTGGGAGTTTCAGATGTGAATGAGTCCTAGGGTCTAGTCAGAGTACCACTCTGCTTGTCTGCTCCAATCAAAATGGTGTGATTCATATCTAAATATTTTAAAAAATCAAAATTGATCAGCACGAGAATCACTTGACCTGTTCCCTGCAGGCTTCAGAACCATAACACCAGATTCAAATTTGATGTAACTAAAACCAAAATGTAGGTTATATTAGACAGAAATTATTTTAGAATACTTGGATGAAATTCTCTGTGTCCACTTCAGCTAGGACTGTGGCCATTTGTTTCCTTTTCCCTGCTAAGTACTCTTTTTTTTTTTGCTGAGCTGCTGTTTCTGCCTTTATAATATCCTGATCAGATCATGCTTTTCTTCAGAAGTAGCTAACACAGCATATATTAAATAATAATGATGACAGTATAAAAAAACTTAGAAAGCTAGATTTGGGTATAAAATTCTTATATGGAATCCTGTTGCAGACAAACCATATTCAAGAGAAGTAGTATTAGTTAGAACCAATAATACACTAGTGTTGATTTCTATCTCAAAATTAATATCAATACATTGTATTTCTTGCACATAACTTATGTATATAGTGAATGTAAAAATGCACAGAAAGTAAAATTAACCTAATTTATGGATTTCTATAGACATTTTTGTATACAGCAAATGTTTAAACAAGTATTTCTGAAAGCTGTAAGTTGTACAAATCGGAGTTGATTGCAAATTTTATTGCAGTGCAGGAAAACAAATGCTGCTAATTTTGTCTTACCTGTTCCAAGAAACAAGACGTGGTATCTCCCATCAGCAGCATTCACTCGATCCACAGCAATCTTTGTATACTTGTAGTCAGCTCCTATCCGGATGATTAACGGCCTCTTGTGTATTGGGTAAATGGGATTAAACATCAAAGGGTGATTCCTAATGAAGGTCACAACATCGTCTGGAAACTCTTTGGTTGTCCGCATATTAGGTGTGAAGGCTCCTCCTGGACACTGCAAGAAACATGGACAGTAATGATTAACAATACTAACCATCTTTCAGAGCGTTTTCATCTCCAAGTCATTTACAAATATTGACAGATAAGTTGACAAAGGAAGTTTCTGAAAGAGCACTGCAGACCAACCAAAACTTATTATGTTCCAGTAATGGGAATGAACTGTTGCATAGCTACACTTTGATCTCACATCAGTGCTGACAAAACTAACACAAATGTATTTTTGCACTTTCAGGACACAGCTTCATGACTATGGTCTTTACTGCTGACCATATTTTTGCATACTTTATGCTTCCAAACTGCCTGTTGAAAAAAAAATTGAAAAAATCCAAGAGATTGGTATGGGAAGACATCAGACTTCTGCATCTGATTTGTTACAGAATTAGTATAAAGACAAAGGACAAAATCTGATACTTAATTGTAATTTGGAGATGATGAAAGGGCCTGTGACTCATCTTCATTTGAAAAACCAATAATATGGAGTTGATGAGGGGGTCCTGTAACAACTCATTTATATCTCAGAATATTGTCTATACTTTCCCCTCTGCCTGAGAGATAACTGAGGTCCATGAATACTCTGGATGCTTCTTTAAGTATAATGAAGAACTGTCAAAATAATCAGCCCCAAGGCATTCTGGACCTCACAGGAATATAAAAAGCATCTTAGAAACCTCAACTATTTACTGAGAGTGAAACTAAAAGAAGACTGGGAAGAAAGCAGGGCTGTGCCAGTAACTGGTACAATGTTCTGGATATACCTATGTTAATTTACATTATTTTTTTTTCAGCTACCATTACCTCACTTCTTACTGCTACCCCTGGGCTTTCATTTTCCCCCTTACCATATTTCTGAGCTGTGAAATTCTCCTCAGAGTATTGGAGGTATTCAGAAGTGTTTCAATGCAATATTTTTCCAACTGGAAAATGTTGATTTGTTCAATAAAAAGCACTTGATGGAAACTTCTTTATTTTGATGAGGGCCATTCTTACAACTAGGATGGAATTTCTGGTCAAAACCACAGACACAAAATAGCTCGTCACTTAGGGAGAGATTTACCTCACCTGACTTCTACTGCCTTAAAAGTCAGGCGTTTATTCTTAGGTTTCCTCTGAAGTCAGTAATTCAGACTAAATGCCCTGCTTTTAGATGGCTAAAATTATATAAAATTAATCATATTCTGAGAGACTTGGAAACTCTCTGGGGATATATGAATCATATGTCCAAACTACCTGATGAAATGAAATGTTGGAATTTGGGTCTTCACCTCCCAGGGGATTCCTCTAACCATCAGGCAAGAGTGCCTGTTTTACCCTCCTCACTGCTAAAAGCTAATAAACTATTCATTGGGCATACCAGGAACCAAGAAGATAGGAGACTTCAGCCTAAATCCCGGCTTCAGAATCATCTTCTGACTCAATTAGTAGTTAATTATTCATACAAAGTAGAACACCTCTGGTAGGAGTTCTTTAAAAGAAATTTCTCTGGCATCAGTTACCTCCAGGAAGAAGAACCAGAACTCAGCTCAGATACTGGTCACTTTTCTCATTTGACATCCTTGACAAATGATTTTTCTGGGCCCTTATTTATCCTAAGGGCTTTTTTTTGGCTTTCATTAGAACTGATACTACATACTAGCCCTCTAAGATTGCTCACAAAATTATTATTTTGCTTGCAAATTACTTTTTCCCTTTCTGGCATATCCATTCACAGTCTTCCAGAAAATTCATGGAACTATCTGTTAAGATTAGCAACAAATGCTGAAAAAAGAACAGTGTTCATCATTAGCAAGATTGTTCTATTTGGTAGTGATCTGCCAGACCCCAGTTACTCTCAAGAGGGATTCTATTTCACAAGCAGTTCAAATTAAACTTTCCTGTCTCACATAGTTCAGTTAAAAGACTTTCTCTGACACTTTCAATCCTTCCATTCTTGACTTGGTGATCATAAGACCTTTGTCTGTGACTTCCTGCAAAAATGTATTTGGTTCACCCCAGTATGACCCTAAAAATTTGCATTATATTGGTGTTCTGAGCAAAATCTTAAACATCTTTAATCAAATAATTCTTTTGCTATCCCCTGTATAAACCAATGACAAACAAAAGATGTTACTGAAGAACCTTATAAGCTCTCCCTTTCCTGAAGGGATTGAATGTGTATCCTTCACACCTAATTCAAGAACTTGGCTACATAATCTTATGTTCACAGTTGATCACCATGCAGTTAGATCGCAGAGAAAACCAGAATTCTTTAATTTATAGTGTATTCCCCCAACATGCTGTAGGTACAAAAACTATTTTTGTAAACTCTGAAAAATGGAAACTATCCCCAAAACATCACTGAATTTAGTAGCAAGCCGCCAATTATGTTTTTTTTTTTCCATAAGTAAGTTTTGCTTGTGGAGAAACAAGAAACCATTGGTATTTAGTGAAGGCCAGCCAAACACTGCAGATTTGATCACAGCCAAAAGAACGTATTGCTTTATTTAATCCTACTGAAGCTACACCAAAGCCTTTCCACTGTTGATCCAAGGTACTGTGATATGATGAACATTCGTTTCTGTCCAGAGGTTTAGTATGAATATCTCTTTAGTCAACTGCAAAGGAGGATTTTCCATGTCACATAAAAAGGCATCCCCTGTCTAGTCCAGCATCCCAGAAGTTGCGAGAAAAGTACATTCAAGAGGAAAGAGGATCATACCCCATAGTCTGCTAATCAAAGTTAACTCTTTGAGCACAAATTCTGGGCAGCAAAAAATCCCCATATCCTGATTTTCACAGATGCTTTGACACAAGTGAAAAACAGAGTTTGTGGCACTCATTTAAAAGTGTAACTTTTCGGTAGTGAAATAAAATCAAAGCCAAACAAATTCCATCTTAAAAAATATGCCTTTAAGATATATGTTATGGCTGAACTGTGAGGTAGCACAGAAAAGCCAGTGATCAGTAAACCAGCAATGATCATCTCATCATCATGGCTAGGCTTTGTGAACGATGATTTGAGAATGATCATCTAAAGGAATCTCTTTTGACTTTATTCTTTTTGTGTGTGAGCTATAATCTAAGATTTTATCTTCAAATTCAGAGCTTTCAGCACATCTCAAAAATTTAGACAATTTCTGTCACCATTTCAAATTCAAATCTGTTTTTTTTTCCCTTTCCATCGTGCTGCCCAATATCTTTGGGCCCATCTGGAATACCACATAAGCCTCCATGAGGCGAACCAAGAATAACATGGCAGTGGTTGAGGAAACACAATACTCTGAAGCAGCAAGAAACCTTGAAATGTGACTAATGACAAGAGAATTTAAATTCCTGTTTAAATGGGTCAATTTTTTTTGTAAAATTTAAGTTTAAAGCCTCAGTGAACTCATGAGATTAGAGCTGTATGAATTAATTGCAAAGAAAGACGAATGCTAGCATTAGACCTTAGTGGAATGTCGAGTATTGATTAGGTAATTCTATAGATCTGGGAACATAAGTCCTAACTCTTATAGCCCATAATAACTGCACTAAAATGTCATGAAGAATTGTGTGAATAGGGAGAGCCCTTCCATGTATCTGAGTTATTCTATGTGTGAGAGAGAAAGAGAGAAAAAGAACAGGATCTTGCAGCAGAAAGACAAATAAGATAGTGATAGGGTTAAAGATTCTTGCAGGGACTGGCAAAATTAGAATAAAATTTTATTTCCTGTGATAAATGGAAAAGCAACAAAATTTTAATCTAAGAAAAATATAGCTCCATTGTTGAGAGACAATTTATTATTCTCTGCATACTTATTTCCTTCTGATGCTTAAGAAATGAAAGACTTCATAGGAATCAACACACATCCACACTACCATACTTCATTTAGCAAATATGGATTTAGGGAAGATTCTAGAGGAAGTTCATATGTTCTTTATTAAAGCTGGAAATATTAGACATCATATTTCTGCTAAATCTAAATTAAGAATAGTGGAATAAGTAAGTAAACAAATAAATATAGAAGTGCAACAACAGCAATTTTTATGCACCATAAAGTTGAAAAGTAAGAAAAAATAATAGTTTTATTTCAAATATTTAATGAGATATTTTTGCACAACTTGGAAACAGAGCTAGTTCTAATGGTGTACAGAATTTACTGGAAGATTATTACTACCCCTAACACAGTGAAAGAAAGTCCTGACAAATTTTCAAGGCCTACAAAAAGCATTCTTACCAAGGAAGGCTACTGTCACCTGATTGGCATGAAAACACATCTATTTCTAGAACCCTCTTCTAAGATTCAGTACCTGATAGGGCACTAGACCTAATCAAATGAACAGTCCCAGAAACCTTATTCTCCTCTAAATCTTCTACTGTATCTCCTAAGCATCTGAATAGAGCTGCAAAACTTTAGAGGACTATGGAAAATTCATACAGACCGAAGACAGACTTACAGACATGTGGATCCAGACTGTGAAACACACCCTCAATGCTGTCTTTGTACGCTTATTTATTTAGCCATGTTTTGCTCAAATACACCCACAAAATGGAAATGGACATGTAAACAAGATGATTGCCATGTACTGAAGAAATTCTTTCAGCAGGAAGAGAAAGACTGATTAACATTTTACATGACTTTTTATTCTTTCTAGAGGATTTCCAGATACAACATGATTTGTATGACAACCAAGAAGCAAATAAAATAGTTCTGAACTGTCACAGTCACATACAGTCCTTCATCCTGGAATAAACAATATTTATTTATGTATTAAACAAAGACAAGCAATTGGCAAGCCTGCATAAACGTCTTTGTACTTACAGTGCCAGGTCGTGGGTACGGAATTCTGCCCTGATATGGAATCAGCTGGTGGTTTGGGCCCTCCTTGTGTGCAAATGGCCCATTGAACACAGTCTGGATGTCAGACAGATGATACACACACACGGCTGAGCCTTTAAATATGGAGCTGGAAGACAGCAGGAAAAAGTTAGCACTGCCATCTACCAACTTTTCGTGGCTTTTCCATCATTTTGCATGGTCCAATGACGAAAGATACCTCTAAAATAATATATTTGATACAATTTAATGCTTCTATAGTGTGGATTTAATACATTTTAAATCAACTAATCTTGCTGTTCAATATGCACAACTACTTCTTAAGACTTAGCTCCTTTTTGAACAGTGAACTGAAAAAAGAGGGAGGAAGGTACTGCCTTACTGGTGCAATAAGAACACTTCCTAACACTGAATATAAAAGAAATATAATCTGGCTCCAGTTAAATCAATGGCAAAAATATTGCTGACTTAAGTTAGACAAGAGTTTTATAAACTTTGTACTGCCAAGCTCAGCACAGGTTTCCAGAACTCCCTACCAGTATATTAACCACAAGACCTCCATGAGCCTCCTAAAATACAAGGCTAAAATATTAATCAAAATATCCAGAGCATTTACAATTGGTTGGATTATTACAATCAGTTGCCAGCTTTTCTAAGCAAAATGGGGACATACTGTGGTTGTACACAAATTACTCCTATACAGTCCACAAGTCCCACCCACAAAACTGGTCTTACAAAGACCCAAGTTTGATGCCTCCTGAGGAGAACCCAGGGAGTCCCCTAAGAAAAGGGCATGTTTTTCCCACTGCTCTGGGCTTAGCCATGGGTTCAGTTAGAGCAAGCCCTGAATGGTCTCCATCACCCCATGATGATGAAGGGCACTAGGGGCATAATTTCCAGACTGGTGCTAGGGCTGACTACAGTAAATTAACTTTTTCATTTTTTCTCTCACTGTATGCAAGGTTTGTGATATTTATCTTTAAAAAGTGGAAACTCCAGACAGTCCAAAATCTGTCTGATGTTAAATGTGGGATGAAAATAATCCAAGTAATTATTTTCAACTGAAGAAGAAAAAAATGCTCCAGAAAAAAACCCTGAAAACATTACACATCGTGTCTAAACAAGGAAAGTGAAATCCACATTGCTCTCAGTTGTACACGGATTAATAGAAGGAACCTTTTAGATGGATTATAGTATTTGTGGAAATTTTTCTATGTATTAATAGATTTTGAGAAATTTATTGAGTCTTCCCATATGTTTTATGTTAGCTTTACAGCATATTATGACAGTAAAATAATTTGCTTCAATATTACTTGGTTTCCTTCTGTATGATCCAGAAAAAAAATATTCCTAGTTACTACATTTCTGTGATGTTTCTATCTTGCTACTGTTATGAGTTGGAAGTCTACAGAGGTGACAATACAGGAACTGTTAAGGAGTAGAAATCCTTATGGTTGCTGCATTGAACTAGGTAACACATTCTAAAGTTGAACAAAAAGAAATCAAGCAGAAACCATGTGGTTCATGGAAACAGAAATGCCTGTGTGTAAAAACTTCAACAGAGAGAGAAAATAGCTTGAGAGCCAGGAAAAAATGAAGTTTTCTCTTTGTTGTCACCTTATATGGTCCTGTGATTCAAACCGCATTTCCACTGTAGAAATACCAGAATTGGGTAGAAGTGTTTCCAGTTCAGTCATGTTGCACCCACAACCTATTCATAAGTGTGGTTTTACTGATAAACATAACCCCATCATTTTCTCTTTTTGTGAAGTAGGAATCATAAATTGTGGACAGAACCAAATGTTTACAAGTTATTTGATGATTTTTTCCCCCAAATAAATAACCTAAAATGATATTCTCCTGTGTCATTTACATATTTAAGAAAGCAGATCCCTGGATGCTCATGAAAAGAAGTCTACTGGGAGGAAAAAAGAATTATGACAAGGATTTTTTTACTAGAAATTGCCATTAAAGGAAATATTTGTAATGAGTTATGTAATTTGCTAATTTGATCAAATAAATTAAATAAAAACTAAAAAAAGCAGAAAACCTCTTTGAAAGTAAGAAGTAACAGCTAAATAATATAGGATAACATCAGAAATCAGTAAGCACTAACTATTTCTACTCTATACTAACACTGTGTGGTAAGGGCAAGAGGGAAAATGAAAAAAAATGGGTCCACCTGTCAGTCTATCTTTGTGGAGAGTTTCAGCACAGTAAGCCATATCTAGTGCTTCCACACCACCCTTGGGAGCTCAATAAATGCTTTCCAAACTGGACAGTAAGTAAATACTACTGACTGGTAACAGGGAGCTTAGGGCTACAAGGAAGTGATCAAATGCCATAGCTTGTCCTTTTGTAGCCAACCGAAGCCGATATGGATTATTTGCCATCTGTATGATCATCTGCCAGCTGAGAGACTGGAAATGATTTGTATGAATTCATGTAAGAATTCTTGGTTTGATCTTTCCCGGTGCTGGATGTTCTTCAGGAGGTGTTAAGTGCTCTCAGATGCCACATAAGTTCACTGTGTTAAAGTCATTTAGCTTTCTGCTGCTGAGCAGTAACAAGTGGCCCTCCATGGAAATGTTTTCCCGGTGCCAGCTGACAGTATGTCAGGAAGCAGTTTGCTCCAAGAAGCATAGCTCTAACATGGATACCAACAGTAATGATACAGACTCTTACTCCTGCCTGCAAATGATGGCTGCAGCAGACACACAAAACTGCACAGCGTAGCCTGGTCCACAAAAATCAACTTCCATTTTCATACAGAAAATCAGGCAGTTCAGAAAGGTTGGTTGTTTTTTTTTTTTTCCAAGTCTCCCCATTTACCTTGATGTTGTAAAAATTCCATACACAAGTGTTGTTCTGGGGTTATCTGTCTCTAAAAGAAACACATCCTCTGAAAGAAAGAAAAGGAAAGAGAAAAATGTTTTGAATACTAATAAAACCCTTAATTTTCCAGTTTAATGTATTACTTTATTCCTGCTAAAGTCAATGGTAGTTTTGTCTCAGATTTGAAAAGGAAAAAGAAGACTTACTATATCAACAGACCATATATGCATAAATCTAGCATCTGAACATTCAGAAACAGATTTGGAAATTAACTCCACACCATCTAGCCTTATGGAGACAGAAGGCAAAGATTTTCAAATACGTTCAGGATCCATGTCACACATTTCCCTCAGCTGGATCTTGTTTCAGCAGGTTGTTTAACAGCAGGCAAACATTAAAGTTGCAGTAAGTTAAAGACAAAGAGTTTGCATAGATGGATGTAATCAAAACCAGGGAAATTAGGTGTTTTATCATCCAAAACATACTCTAGTGCCTTCACAAGCTCATTCTCAACATGGTATGAATGACATACAGCTTTGCAGTGAAGACATTGAGAGATGTAAACCTCCCAGATCCTTTGTATTGGGATTTATTGACTGCACTGTGCAAAACTTTACCTACTCACTGAACTGAATTTGCCCACTGTTACCTCCGATCTCTTCTTTTTTTTAACACTTCAGTGAAAACGACTTTAATTTCTGACAGTTTCTCCTTCCAAATGTTTTTAATAACTATAATCATGCTACCTCTTAATTTACAACACAAAAAAGACTGAACTGTTTGAGCTTTTTATCACAGAATATGTTCTTTAGTTTTCCATAAATTTATGTGGCTCCAGTCACTTAACCCTCTGAATTTTTTAAATGTTCTTTTCAATATGTCAAAAGCAAAAGACTTCACCATGCAGAACGGGAAGTGTTACACTCTCCTGCATTATGCATGAACACAGAAGCATGTGTTTGCTCTCTCCCATTTTTCTGAATTTCCAGCTGTGATTGTATTCTTCCTCTTTGCTAGGGAATTGTGCTGGGAGCCCACGCTGAGAACATTGTATCCTATTCACTGTGGTCCTACATTTTGTCATACAAAAACCCCTAAAAGCAGTTATCCTGCTGCATTGGGAAGAGGAGGGGGTTGGGAAATCACAGTTCTGAGAGACAGGTCGCTGTGGCAGTGCTGAGGCTCTGTGCACTTCAGAAAATCAGTCCTCCAAGCACCTTGCACATTCTGAGTTAAAGCAAGTTAGGATCTGCTCCTAGGCCCAGGTTCCATTGAAACCTTGAACAATTACACCAAAGAGTTGTAAATGTATAAACTCAAAAAAACTCCAAACCCAATTTGCTATTATGAGAATCAGGAATAACAACTGAGAAAAGAGTGAGAGGATACAGTGGAGAGAAGATCAGAACCAGAGGCAGAGCCAGTGCAGGACCCATTAGCCGTTTACATTATTTATATTTCTACTAATGCACATAACAAATCTTCCAATACCTGAATTTAGATCTGTGATTCTGCACACTTCAGCTGCACACTTCAGTGGAGAATATAGAATTTGAAACCTTCTGATAATGTTATTTGGTACTTAGGTATCAAGATATGCATCTATTAATTCCTTAATGAAAGGAACCCTCTTTTGATTGCTGTATAGATTATGCACTGAATATTTACAGTGTTTCACATGTTGAAACACAAATCTATGTGACTGAATGATTCCCAGAGAAATTATATTTATTCATAGTATTACTGCTGATTCCAGTAACAGGAATTATTAGTATTATCTTGAACTATCAAATTGAGGCCTCTACCCTGTGATCAAAAAATAGAATAACTGTATTGTGGAAAAGCTGTGTGTTACACAGTGGTATAAGAAACAGTTTCAAAGAGATTTGAAAAACCCTTCTATAGTAATCCTAATTAGTACTGAAATAGTAATAGATTCACTTAGATGTTCCCTTCCAAATATTAATTCTTTATATATATATCATTCCTTTACAAAGTCAAGATTAATTACCTTTATTTCAAAGGTAATGATACTTACCTAGAGAGACTTATGAAGTATTTTTTAATTTCCTGTCATAAAACTGCAAGGGGACTTGTCATGGATTTCTAGAGCCATGATTTCACTGTAAACAATTTGACTAAGAAACTGTATGAACAGTAATAATTAAATATGGGCAGAGTGTAACATTTAGATAAAACTTTTAAGGGATTTTGTTTTTGTGATACCTAATTCATCAAAGTATGTTTCTGTTCCATCTTCATCCATTACTGAGCACACAAGTCTTGCTTTCAAGAATGTTGTCCACTTGTTCACCAGACTGCGCTGACCACCTGTGTCATTCTGGAAAGGAATATTAATTTCAGAAAAAAAAATACAACACAACTAACATTTTACTGGTCTTTTACATTTTCTTTCTCAAGTTAAATCATCATCCAGATAATTATCTGGTAAATTTAATATAAAAGTAGATAGACCTAAACTAAATCCCCTTATTTAAACACTCCATATGCAGAAAAAAACCAAGAACTAGTTTTCTGAGCAGGCTTTCTCTGCTGGGCTAGCAGTCTTGGAGAGTCAGGCAGTCGATTTAGTGCATCAGCAGAATGTGCTTGTATGATTAGAAGTGATTGTGGAGGTTTGTATCACTCATCAACACCCAGTGTAAAGTCCATGCTATCTCCAAAAGGTCTCATAGTGCTCTAAAGGGATGTTTTTTGTAGTCTTGACAGCAGCAAAGCTGCACATGACCTAGTAAGCCATGCTGACACATGAGGTGGATGATCTAAAATCAGAAATGATGGCTAGTGTGGGTCAACCTGGTTTTGCACTGTTGCAATTCCTGCTAGTCTGTTCCAGAGCTGGCTTGGTCACAGCTCGCTCAAGGATCTTCCCACTTCTCTCTGGTGAAAGGTGGAAACTGTGACTGCCAAACCAGACTGTGCAGAACCAAGGTGATGGATCAGCCTCATCTTGCTGGTGAATGCCTCAGGTAAGAGCAGTGTCTTATAAACTGCATAGCATTAGCATAATGTCACCCAAGGAAAGGGAAAAACAAAACTTTGAAGCTATTGAAATGTGATTTTGATAAAGTGCTGTGCATGTTTCACTGGTGCTCCTAGAGTTGGTAATCCAACTTTTCAGGTGACTTATAAGGAGTCTTTTTGTGGGACTATTTCTTGGTCTTTCTTGGCACCATTTCACTAATATATTTGGCCAGTGTCAAAGGTGTTGAAGTATGAATATGATGGTATACGAGTATACAAATATGACTGGCTCAGATTTATTTTTCATTGGCTTTGGGGTTCTGCCACTGACTTCAGTTTAAGTCTAAACAGGATTAGGCCTTTCAAGAATCATCTGGGCTTCATTATAACAGTGAAAAAAACAAATGCAGATGTAATTGTGTAAAATGTCTTCTTGCAAAATACCCAAAAAGGCCTTCAGGCATCTTCACAAAAATACAGAGAATGGAGATTATAAAAGAGATCACATGCCCCACAATATTGCCAGAGAAGGAGCTTAGCACAATCCCGAACACGCCCTCACACCCAGGCACAATAACATCAGAAATCATTCAATTCTAAAGAAGACCTAAATTAAAGTAAACATGCAATTATCTTCCTGAACCTTTCCAAAAGAAGGAATGAATAGGTTAGCAATAATCGTGCATTTATAATTTTTCTCTCATTAAAAACCAGCCATTTCACCAGAGATATTAATAGCTACTTCAATTATTTTTCATCTACAGTTGATTACAGATACAAAAAAAGAAACAGAGACAATGAGGAGTACTATGAAAATAAATTGATTTTTGCTCAGGAATAGTCATAACTCCTCAATTTCATTTTCCTGCGCACATCTTTAAAGTTAGGCTCACGCAGGCACCAATGCAAGAACTCAGAACAGATACTGTAAAAATGAAAACAATATTTGAAAGTTAGATCAACCCATTTAAAAGCTTGATATTTCCCACGTGCTTCAAAGGTTTTGAGTGTAAGACTTTTTTTTGAGACCTCACTGTTTTTTAGTTTAGTTTTTCTAAGAAAATAATGCACCCTATTTGTGCCAAGGACAGCAACGTTGAAAATTCAACACTGTTGAGTATTCTGACTCAGTCAGAGATATACACAACTCCCCGAAACTCTAAATTTCCATATCCTTACAGGTACAGCCTGATATACATAACATGTTCAGACCCTAACTGTGAGTTCAATAACAGCTCTTCTTAATTATGAATGTGGACAGAGAAACAAGAAATTTGTTCCGAATATAAACCAAAGGCTTATCTCAACGACCTGGCAAACAAAATAGTCCTTACTGGGCATATTCTTGCAATCATTGAATGAATCTGCTTTGTGCTGCCGCTGTTATCTGTGAGTCTCTCTTTGAAGAAGAAGTAGATTTTGGCATCATTGGGGTCAGTGCCATCTGGGATAACATGAGCATCCACAAAAATAGGCTCTGTAATGAAAAAAAATTACCGAAAAGATGAAACCAAAAGATGTATAAGAATAAGCAATTCATGATTTGACTGCTTCAAGGAAGCACTGTATAATGCATACAGAGGTATGGCTGTGGAAGCTAAGCTATATGCTCTAGCTTCATGTCTGTAGTATCAGCAGGTAAATGGTTCCTTGCTGGCAGCCACATGTTTTTGCATCTTAGCTTTTTATTCCACAGTGGATTTTCAGAGGAGTGATCCAGAAGCAGTAGTGTTAGGTTACTGAAGAGACTCAAAGACTTTGAGGTAGAAGAGGGAAGAATCTGTGTGTTATCTGGGGCCCCTAAGGAAAGCCTCACTGAGACAAAATATAAAATAAGCTGGAACAGCTTAGGAAAACAACAGATAAGGTTTATAAATAAGAGGAAAGCAACTTGTGGAACACAGAAAAGGTAAGTAGGGTACACAAATGCTTGAGCACCATGTGAGTTCATATCAGAGGCTGTTATACATAACCCAATGTGCATGCAAAACACTGCAAAGGAGCACAGTGAGAGAGTAAAATAATCTATAACCTTAACAGCAAGCATATAATGGACAGTGGAGGAGTCCTCAGAAGACCTTCTCCTTTGCCTGAAGGAAGAAGTGGACCCTCTCCTTGCACTAAGGCTTTGTCTTTTCAATGATCATGCGAGATTGCTTGTTCAGTTGAAATGCAGTACAAATTTTGAAACAGTCACATACAAATGTTGGCTGTCTGACAGAAAACTCCCTTTACACAGCAACATTTTTCTATTCAGATAAGCCTATTTTCAATTAATATAACAAGTGCCACAACTCCAGCTCTAAAAGGACATGGAAATAAACTGTACTTTCAAGTACCTGTTCTGAACATAGATAACAGGTAGATTTTCCAGAAATTAGGCATTTTTAATTGTTCTTTTTCTCTAATTCACTTTAGGATGCACATGTCAGGGTGTGCAGATAAGTGTAAGAATGCAAAACAAACAGAAGAAAAATTTAGAAAACAGACATAGTTTTCCTATGATTTCACTGTAGTCACAGCCACACAGGAATAACTAAAAAGAGTCACCCTAACAAATACCAAGAGAAAATCACAGTAACTTTACTTCAACATACCTGAAGGCTTTCTAAAATTTTAACTGCTATGTTAGGTGGTCTATAACCTTTGACATCTACCTTTGACATCTACCTCTGTTCAGAGGGCTAAGCACCATTTTAATTCAGAACAGTTTATTTGGAAGGAGATTTCTTACCAGTGAAGACAGGGAGAATTTTCACAGTGATGTCAGTGCTGCAAAGAGTTAAGTGTTCCCACTGAGAAATTAATTTCCTGCTGTGTTTAAATAACCAATTCCTTATCACTGAAATAAGTGGTAATAATCATCACTGACTTCTCTGATAATGAGACACTCTTCTGCACACATTCTGAATGCAAGTGCTGGTGAGTCTTCTGCATAGATGTGGATCAGCTTGAATTAACTGAAGCTGGTAGCTTAGAATCAAACACTCTATTTTAAGGCAATATCTGATGCATTAGAGGTGAAGGTACTTTTCTAGAATTCAGACCATCTGACCACTTGCCATTTGAGAGGTTTTTACACACTTTCTCTTGAACAGTTTGGTTCAGTCTTAATGCAAAAAAGGTTCTCAGATGGGTTGGCCTAAGAGGTTGGCTCATGCAGTGAACTCTTTACATTTGTGCATTGTCTACAGCATGTATTTACATACATTTCTTCATGGTTAACTTCATAAATTAAATTAGGAGACAAGCTCTTTAAAAGATAAGCTCTTTATTTTCAGTAAAGCAAAGCATAATCTCTGTGGCATCCATTAAAAGATCTGGTAAAACAAAGGCATCTCACCACTCAGCCACTTGGAGTTGTGCTGGTCAGTTCTCACTGCATTCCTCCTGGTCAGACTCCGAAAAATGGCCGCATCCGTCCCCATGAAATCAATATACATTCCTGAAAAGAGCTCTTCATCTGAAAAGAAGTGAAATGGAGGGGAAAAACCCAATGCATTGTTACAGCTTTTGGGAAACCCAAAAGTTTATTTTAAATTCATCAGCTCTTTATTTACACAGGAGTCTATACAGGTAAATAGTGGGTCATGGGAATGGGGTTTCCTCTGATTTACAAAGACACAAACTAGAATCAGATTTTTCTTAAAGACTTTTAGGAAACTGCATCATTAAATGCCACAGCAGAGCTATATACATGGTGAACCTTTCTTGATAGGAAGTTTATTGCTCAATTTCCACTGCTAGGGGTCACTGGAAAATCAGACTAGTGTTATCAAAAAAGTATCACATCCAATTTTTTAAGTACTCACTTCAAATAACTTTTTTTGCTGTGGAAGTAGATGAAGTGACTGGATTGAATTTATTGCTGTTGTAAACTGGCACAACATCTGTTGCAGTCAGTGGATCAGTGCCAGTTTTTACCAGCAGTATTGTCACAGCTGCCCCAGGCAGCCTCAAACTGACTTCAGTATTGCAGAGGCCAGACAATCATATTATTGAACTTTACTCAAAGTAATAGGGAGCAACAATTATCCCCTTTTGTGTACTTGATTCTAAGTATAGGGTCATTACGCTTGAACAGAATTAGACACGCAACTCCTACATTAACAGAACTATGAACTTCTGCTCCCTGTGCAGGGCTGAACACACAGTCCATCAGTCATGATGTGTATCTGCATTTGGTTGAGTCCATGTGTGTGCATAAACATATGTATATATAATTATAATTACATATGCTATCATTTTCTACTCCATGAATAACCAAGCAATTTCCACTGACTAATGACAATGAAACCCCAGAGCAGAAAACAGTAGCTAAAATAAACTCCAACTCTGAGGGTGGGAGTGGTGGCTGAACACATTCCAGTACAGCTGGGTCCTTTGATTGATGTTTTTGTCTGAATTCCTGGACTTCCCAGAGAGTGTGGTCAAGCTGGCAAGAGTCACAGGTTCAGAAGTGCTTGAGGCTATTTTCATGCTCTGTGTGTGTGTGTGTGTGTGTGTTCACACATCAATATAGAAGATTATTGGCTCACGAGAGAATTACAACTGGAGATTTTGCTTTTCTGCTGCTACTGGAGCCTGAATTGAACCCCTGTAGAATATCCAACAGCCACTCTTCTGCTTTCACCTCTCCCAGTGATGACAAGATTCATACACAGGGGATTTAAACAACACATTCGCTGCATGTTGGTGAAGCGTTTACTTCCTCGGCAGGTATTGACAGAATGATGTTGGATACATACACATTTATAAATGAATTTGCATATTTGCCTCCTTGTTTCAATCCATCAGTACTTCATGCTTAGTATGAAATAAATTAGGTGAAAGAGATCAGGCTTATGCTTCTTGCTAAATGTTATGTACAGTTCTGTGCACATACACATCTGTACACACTGCAACAATAGTACTATACCATGTAATAATAATCCTATTATGTATCAGTGCTATTAGTTATGTCTTAAGTATTCCTAGTGGTTGCTTGCTAATCGTGTATCAGATTAATTTCCTAAGTTCCACTTCCTTCTGGTAAAATCCTTACATTCCACACAGCATTTGGTCTGCACAAAACAGCAAGTTCACACTACTTCACTTTGTTACTGGGGGGAATTACTGAGTTGATGAGGTCTGCTTTTATAAATATCTCAGAGCCTTGGTGGGGAGAGAGACATACATCCTGCATATCAGTTATGCCAAGCTGCTTCAAAGCACGTTTTTCATTTCTTTGATGCAAATGTGTCTTTGTACAATGACAAATTGTATGAAGTTCAAATTTGTTTTTATAGCACCACTTTCCTCTCAAAGGTGAATCATCTTTTCTGCTGTATTCTAGGCCAGTGATGCCCAAAATGGTCACATCTATATTTAAAAATGGTTCTTTCATTTTGGAAGAGCTAGCCTGTCCGGTGGTATTTCCTATTTTCTGAAACAAGGGGAGGGAATCCCTCCTGCAGGATGCCCAAAGAAGAGTCCAGTACATGGGCTCAGTTCCCTCACTGTAACACAAGCTGTGACTTACAAAATGTTCCCTTTTCTGGCCTGGATATAAGGCTTAATTCATTAGAGCTTAATGTTTTTGAACTGACTGGACTTTGTAGTAGCAGGGAGAAAGTATAAAACCCAAACTGTGGGACTCTTTCTAAAAGGAATATGACCTTTGTGGAATAATTTAAACTTTGTAGATGAACTATGTCATGAAAGATAAGTAAAACACTAGGGAAGGTCTCTTCAGTCCCATAACTGAGAGATCAAGGAAGGTAACAAAAAGTCTATTAAGATGAACAAAGCTGCCATAGACCTATTGTAGGAAAAAATCAGCTTACTGTATAGACAGTAATTCAGAAACAAGGTACTTTAGTACTTTAATGGTACTACATAAAATCTAGAAGGAACAAGGAAAGAAAACTGTAATTTTTTTTTGACAGTTGATTCACTTAATAATACCAGAATAACAATGAGTAGCAGAGGACTCATCAATCACTGACTTTGAACAAACATTTTCTTTACACAGTGACTGTCTGTAAATGCTGTCCCTAGATCACTGATGAGATAAAGGTGTAAGTACAGCCAAGGTTCAGAGAGACATCTAGGAAGCATTTACCTGTTCTCTAAAGGTACTTTAGTTCATATATCTGTGAATAAATATATTTGTCTTTTGTACTAAATATATTTCCAATGGAAAAAAAAAAGGCCATTTATATTTTGAACAAACCACATAGGATAAATTATATGACATTTCACTTAAGATCCATGAGACTGAAACTTTAAAGGAAATATCTGGCACAATATTTAATTGCCATTGATTTCAGTGGAAGCTGAATGGCAGAAACATGGCACATTGTTCCCTTGTAAACCTTGGGTGAAATAAAGTCTGAAAAATCTGTGCAACTGCTGTTCCCCTCAAAGCCAAAAAAAAAATACAGCAAGGAGTAGGCACATGTTGAAAAATCAAGGCTTTGGCACTGGAAGTCTGTGAACATGATGCAAATGTGAAAGGTCAGGTTACACAGAGTATATATAACATGCTTCCTGGTTGAAAAAAAAAAAAAAAGTATCTTTTACAGATGACTTAGGTTCCACAAAGCATATGCCCCCCTTGAGTTTTCTCTTAGGTGTTTAATAAGCACAGCACGAATCCTTTGTCTGGGCTATATCTCACAGTCAATGAGTACAGTTGCCACCAGTTCACATGAATATTTGAGGAGTGGCAGTTGTATCACTTTCCAGCCTTTCAAATGCAAGAAAATTGCAAAACTGGTTGGGTATAGAGCCAATTGAAGAATGAAGAGCCTTGCAATAACTGGTGGGCTCTACAGCAGAGATGACAACAAAAATGAAATTCACAGCATCTAAAATCTTCAGGCTTTCTTTCCCTGGCTACTCTGAGATTTTACAAATAATTAAATGAGACACAAGTTCTGTCTAGGATGAACAAGGTCAGAAACCACTCAAACATAAATGCTAGACAGGGCAATGTAAAGTTGAAACTAACCCTGGGAAAAAATGTGTAAGCTGGAAAAGAGACAACCTTTTGTTTTCTCTCTCTCTCCCTTTCAAAAATATCTTTCTGCATTTCATTTGTCCAGCCACCTTTAGTTTCATGTAAGCCCTGAAACAAGGAAGGACTCAACCCTTGTGCTCATCAGCCATTCAGGAGGCTGAATTCTGTGTCCAGCTCCTTTTGGGCACTCTGTCAATCCTCACGACCACACATGACCATATGGGTTTAGACCTCAGCAACTTGGAGTATCTTTACTTACTGATCATAACAGACACCGTGTTCACGTTGGGGTTGAAAGAACAGCGTCCTTTTCCTGATTCACACTTGGAGTCAATCTTGAAGATTTGTTCCTGCAAAGTAGAATTATGTGTCACTTCTCATTTCAAAAACCATCAGATAAGACCATTTTTATGCCTGACCGTTTCCAGCATTAACAATGCTCTATTAACAGTGCACTATTGGGTACTTTTACTGTACTATCAGCAGTTTAACTTTCCTACTCAGAATTCCATCATCTTGTTAGATAACATTTTCACTGATACCCAGTTATTTTCAAGGCTCTTGTTATAAATTCAAGACACTGAAACAAAGGATTTTTCCCTCTCAGTTAAGCTGTGGAGAGGTTGACTGATCTCTGCAATATCATCTGTGGAGATTGCTTCTGTGTTTTTAAAACTATTTATCATTTATTTGCTGAATACATGGTATACTTATACCAGTCTAGGACATTATAATAAAACTACTAGAACAATAATAACAGTAATACATGTTAAATAAAAATCTCTTATGACAACTGTCATTTGATGATACTATAAATCATTTGGTCTTTACTGATCTATCAGACACCCAGAAATCCCCTAAATCACACTTATTTTCTTCAATACCATCTCTTGGATTATGTGTAGAGCTCCACTTCCGTACTGATAGACGATTATAGCCTGAAATCTCTTAAATTACTTTTTTATGTTTAGAAATCATGGTATGGGGATTTGTTTATATTTTAATGCAATTTATGAGATTGGATGTGGCACTTAGTGCCACAGTCTAGTAACCACAGTGGTATTGGATCAAGGGTTGGACTTGATGATCTCAGAGGTCCTTCCAACCTGGTGGATTCTATGATACTATGATTCTATAATTCCATGAACAGGGGACACATTTAGCAAAATAGATAAAACCTGGACTACAGCTTGAAATACAAATAATCTGAGTATCTTTAGAATATTTGCCCATCTTGGTGCAGCTCTTCACTTCTTGGTTCCCAGCAATGCTAGCACAGTGTGCTGAGCAAGAAGTGACTCATGTCCAAGCCCGTTCCTTAAAAACTGCAGTCACTAAGGACAGAGACACTGATCCATTGCACATCCACTAACACACCACTGTATACCAAACAGCTTGTTCCTAGGCTCCTGTAACAAAACTTCTATTTTTTAATAAAAAGCCAAAAGACACAGTTTCAAGAAAAAACAACCAACCAAACTTAAAAATTTTCAGAATAAAAAGGTAGTTGACAAAAATTCCACAGAAAGGCTTCTGTGATCTAGATGCCAATGTATTAGTTATTTGACAAAGGACAACAACTCTTGATATTCTCCTTAACAGTTAATGTAAATCACAGGGGAAGCGGGGTGCCACGCAAATCCCTGAGCAGCCATTGGGCACCAGCAAATTGGAGACTCCATCAAGCTCAAACTACACAGCTGCAGCAGGAAGTTTTCATATCCATTATCCCCTCTCTTTCTGCCCTCTTCTGTTTTGCCTAATTTAATCACAAAGATCTTATCTATTGTTTCAGTAATAAACTCTCTAAACAATGTTATAACAGAAGTATAAAGTTTATAACATGATCTTGGGTGGTTTTTTGTTGTTGTTTCACTTCTAGATTAATATGCAGTTTGATTTTAATCCATATTTACTATATTATACCACTATTTACCAATTCAAAACTCCCATTACTGCTCTATTAAACTAGCTCTAGGCTTACACTTGATTTTCATATATATTAAACTACTTTTTAGTCTATAATTATGTCACATAGGATTACATTTCCTTAAGTTTGCATTTACTTTGACATTAGAATATATTTGGGTGACTAAGGGAGTAATTACCAAAGAGCAAGGTATCAAGTGTGCCAAGGAAGAAAATTAATTGTTGTACAACCTCTGTTTCAGGGAAGAGGGAAAAATTCTGCCTCATCAATGAAACCCCCTTTTTGTGAGATTATATAGAATCCTGGAGACAAAAGAGCAAAACAGGCCCAGTTCTTATGATTGTTGGATATGACTCTGTCAGGCTTTGTAGCTTCTAGAAAAAACAGATGTGCTTTGTAAAATATTCATTTTGCACATGCGAAAATAGCCTTCTGTGCATGGAAAACTGTACTAAATTAAAGGTGAAATGATAAAAGCAGAGAAAAAATGATTTCTCACTAGTCCCATCAGCACTACATAGCTCTTCATTCTGCTCTATTAGTCATGCACAGATATATGCAATGAGTTTAGAAGGAAATTCTTGGATCTAAACTGTTATGCTATTGTTGGCCTGTACAATAATGGCTTTGAGCGTGCAATGCCTACAGTCAAGTGTCTCACAGACTCCAGACGTCTCAAACAGCAGTTTATTTAATCAATTGATATAGGCATGTAGCTATACAGACAGGCTAAGTGAAGCCAGTTCTTTTCCAAATCACGTATCTTTACTTTTCATTTAAGCAATTTAACATATTGCATCATCTGGAGATGTCGTTTCCTGCATTCCCCTCTGTTCCAATCTCATTTAAAAAAACTCTGACATAATGCAATTCAAAGTTCTCTGGGCTGCAGATTATGATAATAAAGTAATATTATATTAAATTATATCACTTTTTGTATTTTAGATAATTTCTCAAGAAATAAGATGATGCTATAGAAAGGTGACCCCTGTTTCAAAATACATCAAAACAAGTTAATGTCGAATTCATTAATCAGAGGGATGGATTTACTTACTCAGTCAGTTCTGTATTCTCACACTTTTAAATCCAGGCCTACAAATCTCTACTTTTGGATAATTTATTAGGACTGAAGGTGCAGTGATTCAGTCTGCATACTCTCTAAGGAGGCTGGAGCCAGGTAGGGATCTACCAAAAGTCGCTGAGATCATCCTGTGCAAACCGATCTGGAGAGGCATTGACTTATCACCTCCCTGGCAACCTATGCAGTATCTTGGGTCTTGGCCAGAATTCCCATCCCACTCCTAATTAAATCAGTGATGAATTTCCCCATGTCTTCCCAAGAAGCCAGCCCAGCTTTTAAAGCTGCCCTGACATGGCAGGACTCCAGGTGGGACGTTCTGATCTTCCTTCTCAACACATCTGCTTTCACATTGTTCAGGAAAATATACTGCACATCCCTGTGCCTCCAGACATGAATCTGACCCGAAAGCTACTGAGGTGCTGCCTCTTGATAAGTGCCTTTCTTTCTCCTTCTCGTTGCTTAATTTATTACGTATTACATTTGCGCACAAACAAACATTTCACATTCAAATCAGGAAAATTGGACCATATACTTCTGAAACATCTGGTACTTTGTATATTGAAAATGCACAGTGAAACTGAATGCAGAAAAACTGGAGACTCATCTAGAAAAAGTAAGATCTCCCAGTGAACAGAAACTTTCCTACTTCATCTGGGTAGAATCTAGTGGGGCAAAACTTGTGCAGTAGATGAAGTTCCTGTACTGAGATTGCATCTAGTGGGTGTTAAACTGAAGTCCAGCAAACTTTCACATACCTGAATAGTTATCCAAACTAAGGGCTTCTCCCAGGCACCAGTAACACATGGAAGCTATAAAAAGTGGACTGTATATTTTACTGGCTAGTTCCTTTCAAGTACTTCTTGGGTATTTTCCCTCCAAATGGTAGGAATGAATTCACCAGAAAATGTCAAATAAAAAGTAGTATCAAATGTAGCCCAGCATTTGGTATGACTGTGGAATTTTGGACAACCATCATGTTTCAGGCATGGCTTTTGATAATGGCTTTGCTTTTAGCTGGTAGCACGTCAGAAAACTGCGTACCTTCGCTCTTTTGCTGTTTAACACGGGTGAATGAGCCTATTCAGATCACCGATTTTTTTTTGCATTTTCAGTATTTCGAGTTTTCACATCACACTAGTAGGATGCACCATAAGAAGGAGTGGATAAAATGAAAAGAGACCCACCTCAGACCTGCGTCCCCTGTTGACATACACACACACGGGGCTGAAGGCGCCGCTGCCGCAGACGTACAGGTGTGTGCGGTTGTACGACTGGATCACACGCACAAAATTTCCACAGCCATGCTGCAGGAAGTACAGAGAGCAGTAATTTCACACTGGCAAATGCTACTAGATGTTGGGAGCTCTACGGGAGAGACATGATTTACTACAGCATCTGAAAACTGGTGTTCAACTGGGGTCTTCAGACTGCACACAGTGGGTACCACCCACTTTCAGAGTCTGTTCCTGGGGTGAGCAGCCAGCCAGAGCACTTCCCCACTCCAAAGAGCAGCTCACCAGGCTGTTCAGCCTCACCCCAGGACATATCTGGAAAAGTACTATTACCTGGTTTGATTAGTAACAACAACAAAAAAATGAGGAAGTGGACACTGCGTATCTTTTCCCATCTGTCAAAGTCTGAAGGTGCATTTTGTTTACGTTGCCTGTTTCTCCAGAATTTCACTTTATAGATAGGCTTGCAAAGCATTTCGAAAGCAAAACAAACACTTCTTTCGTTTTGCTTTGGCTGCACTCAAGGTGCTCTTACTTTATTGCCAAGTACGTAATTTGTGTATATGTGTGCATGTGGACTATAACTTACCGTAGGATCTTTGCCAGCCATTTTGCACTCTTCAACCTTGTTTGCTGATGCTGGCCAGGAAATCTGTAAGGAAAGAAGCATCATTGAAGTAGCATACTTTTAACATAATTTAAACAAAACATTTCACTGCCTAACTCACACTAATACGTTAATATTTGGATATCTTACACTTTGATTATAATAAAAAAAAAAAGGGATTTTCATTGATACATGGAAATATCTTTGTCTTAGCATGCAGAAAAAAAAATAAAGGTCCAGGTCTTTGGTTCTAAGCTTATTACGTATTTTCAAGGCAAGGTAATTAATTTATTTAGATTTTTTCTTCTAAATAAGAGAGATTTTTCACCTTTATTGCCTAAATTACTGTCTATCTTTACTTTTTACTTTTACTGAACTTTCAGAAATTATACACACTAGAAACCAGAAGGCTAAAACAGCACAAGAATAGTTCTTGTAACAATTTTTTGATTTTAACATCAGGAGTTTGGATTGATTACAATATAACCTGCTTGAAATTTCAAGGTTTCAGACTGATTTTGTTCACACAGTTTTCCAACAAACACCTCAATGTCTGAATGTTTGTTTGTTTTATAATCAAACTCTAAATATTTTGAGCTTCTTCCATTATTTATTTTGATTTTGAAATAGAAAAGACATCCATTAGAAATTTATCCCTAGAAATCTAGTAAGTGACAGAGCCTGATAACATTTAGCCTCAAGGTAACATAAACAATAGCATTAAAAGATCTCTGTTTATGTACATATATACAAACATACGTAGAACTGTGGATTTGAATGCATATATGTACAGGATTTCTATAGAGGTATAAGATCAGCAAAGTGAATCTTCTGTAAAAATAATTAAATAACCAGAATACTGTGTGGAATTGCAGAGATTCATTCTGAGCCTAATACTGGGTGCCCACACCCACTGCCAGAAAACTTTGTGTGCTTTTCCTTTCTGTTGACTTTTTTTATTCTTGTTTTTCCAAGTTGTTGAAATGCCTCACAGCTTTATACTGCAGAAAATATTTCATGCAAGAGAGACCGTCCTACCAGAATTAAACTGGACCTGCCATAGGCAGTAGGGAGTGTGCCATGAGGGAGCACAGCTCCTCCCAAACAGGGGTGGCTGGATCACTGGGGAGCTGGGACTTAGCAAAAAAAGGTCACAGAAGCTATTTCAGATCAGAGAAGGCAGCCCCATTTCAGAAGGAGATTTTGGTACCCTTAGAAGGAGAGAAGGATGTATTCATGCCATTGAGCAAGAGGCATTTAATTTAAATGTGTAAGTTAGAGTGAGCCTCCCCGGGCTCCATGCAATCAATTCAGGTAGACAGGCATGCCCAGAGGGTGATTCAGAGCAAAGCCTAATTTAACTATGCTCCATCACCCTCTGGCAGGGACCCTCTCTCTCCCCTGACACATTAAAAGCCTTGTCTCTCAAGGAAAGCGTTTATCTTCCCTGCTGTAAGCTGGGTATCGCTGCTCCTCAATCCTTCTGAGGTACAGTAATAGAGCCCACAGATTAAAGGATTGAATGGATTTGGTGGAACAAGGCCTTTATGGTACTTTTTAAGGCAGTGCAGTAGCTGTGGTAGTCTAAAGATAGGCAAGAAAAAGCCTGTAGAGAGGTAACAGCTTAAGAGTCAAGCTTCTGGGCAGACAAGTACTTCTGCAGGTCACCTATTTCTAAAGCAGAAAAAAAAACCAAATGAGGTGTCTCATCTACCCAACTGAAGGGCATGGACTCACAACAGGCATAACAAGAGACTGGAAAATAGTTCAGCTATTAGGCTCCAGAGTACAAACCAAAAATAAAAGTAGTTGAAGATTAAGGGCGACTCAGACCTTGCCTTTTTCCCTATGGTCTGAGAATGACATGTGTATCTTATTCTTACTTGCAGGCTCCTTTTAACAGTGCATCTCTGAACTGTCTTATCTTATCTCATCTCAGAGAGGAGTGGAAAGTATCAAACCATACAAATTTTCCTTATGAGGCCAGGCCAAGCTAAATGTTGCTTCAAAATTAGTAAACAGGTCAATTTTAAACAGTGTTAGAGGAACAGCTTTGTCTGTGTCCCACGTGAAACAAGGACTAACAGTTCAATAAGGTGTGGGCCTGGACTTTCATGCAAAATAATGAAATGTATGGTTTTTTGTCTTAAAAACAAAGGTATGTAATAAAGCAACCTCAGATTCTCAAAATAAAACTAGAACTTACACTGAGAGGGTCCTGGCTTATATTGTTAATATTCAAAGACAGAATATGATCTTTACTGCCCACGTAGATCCGATCCTGATCTTCATCCATTAATAATATCCGGTAATCCAGGGGACTGTGGGATATTCTGTGATATTCAGAGGTCTTAGTTTCTTGCAGCTCTGAAATAGTAATGACAGTTACTTAGTAAAGAGGTTCAGTTGCCTTTCTTACTTCTCAACTGCATTTCTTTCCAAATAAAGACATCTTTGGACATAAATGGGGTCAGTAAGAGAAGAAAAATCCTCTTAAGGCACTAGCTAGTAATACAATGGTTGAGTTAAAACAAACTTTTCCCAGTTTGGATATAGTTCTTTTGTACATTAAGTAGATAAGACATAGCTCATAAAAATCAGGCAATGCTGTTATTCATTCATCTAATTAATTCTTATTTTAATGGATATAATTATTTACAGCTTTGGCTTTTAAGGAAGATAACTTATTAAATTAGTCAATGTGTTCAATACATTTTGAAGTTTATGAGTGCAGAAAATACACAAGATCAATGAAAACTACACAAGAACAGTTCACTTTCGTTTCCTAACCAGGGGCTTCATTAAGAATAGGGTTTTATAATTTTCAAGGTCATATTTTATTGGGTTCTTCATCATCATGCATAGCTTACTTAAAAATAAAACTACTGAGTCAAGCCTAAATGTGTCCCTTTATTCAGTTGTTTGTTTATGGGCTTTGGACCAAACTACCAGAACTACAGGACTAGCTCTATTTTTCAACATAAAACTTTCTTCAGTAAAGTGAAGTGAAAACATCCTTTGATCTCAGTAGTGCAGGATCAGGCCTGTAACAGGAATAACATAAGCATCTGCAATATAAGTATTACTTGCTGCCCTCGAGAAAGCTTAGCCTTCCTGTCTTTGCTTGGCCAACATATTTTGGCCCCACTCAGATTGCGTTACTTTTCAGTAATAACAGAAGGGATATTTCTCAAGAGCTAAGAAGGGAAAAAAACCTTAATAATCGATTTGACTTTATTAAAACATTTAACATATAATTATGCCTTCTTACTTCATGAACATTAGCATTGAACTGTGTTCCCCATGACACTAAAAGGGTGGCAAATACACAGCACATATGAAGACGAAGCTCTGCTATAATGTTTATCCATAAATCTAAGAACTGAGTCCACAGTTCTTAGTTGCAAACTTTGTCTGGGACAACATGGCTTGTCACTGTTCCTAAAGCTTAGGACTTTTAAAAGCACCGTTTTTGCTCATTCATTACCTATGGAAAACAGAAAATCTCTTATACAAAATTAGTCATCTATTGTTATTTTGGAAAACAAAACTCTCAAAACAAATACTTCTGGATATGTGCACTTTTTAAAAAAATGTGTTCCTAAGTATGCAGCTTCTGTAAAATCATATTTAGCTGTAAGCATAATTTTTTTCTCTGAAAATTATTTGGAAAGCAATTTTTAAAAGGCAAAGCCTGAAGGCCTAGGATTCTATTAGATATCTAAAGATTGAAAGACTTTTTATCAGAATATAATTTGCATTGATAAATATGATACATGGCTCCATTTAATTTTTATCATGATTGTTAAATAGTTTCATGGGAAGATGAAAAATCTCCTCAGTTACTGAAAGATGTTGGTATTTTGATTGACTCAGATGTGCGACAGCTTTCAGGAGCTAAATTGCCTACATGCATTTATTTATGGTAATATTAAAAAAAGCACAAATAATATTTCTATTTCATGTGTCCCTCAACAAAAGATAAACATACAATCAAGATTTACAATCTGTGCCTAAAAGCTTAAACCGAAACACTACTTGTTAAATATACATGAAAACTGTCCACAGTACTCTCAGAAGTCTTTCTTCACTGCTTGAAAAATCCGTTGTTTTACTTCATTTAAAAAAACCCTCCTTGTAAGCTTTTAGGTAGGATTTTCAAAGGCACTTGGGAGACTCACCAGCATAGTGCCATTAACACACAGTACCTTTGCCCGCTCTGAAATTCTCAGACTGACCTTTTACAACCAGCCTGAGTAGTCAGTGTTCATCCCTTTTCCTGGTGGCATTATTAACTTTACCACACTATTTGGTAGCTGTAAGGTGAAACTGAAGTTTCTTATAACTGCACATTTGATACTCTAGGAAAGCACAGATAAACTGGGAGAGTTTCCTGCCCAGCATAGGGTAGATGTGAGCACAATGACTGCACAAAATAACGTCCTTCCTTATCGCTTCAGTGACTGACGGTGGTTGACAGTGAAAACAATGTGACTGAAGTAAAAGTTAATCATAATCATGACAACTGTTTTTAAGCAAGAGACAAAAACAGTGACAGCTACTTGATTTCCATGACTTTCACTTATTAAAATCCATTATTTTCTTGGATTGGTAACCTCTTTGAAATAGTATTATTCTTTCTAAGGCTCCTGAAGGGTAATTTGTCCCCATCAAGCTGCTGATGAGCAGAACACCTTATTACACATTATTAGACATCAATGCCATTCATAAGAGGAAGGAAAGCCATGAAACAAATACTTTCATACAGATTTATTAGTTTTATTTCTTTTAGTGCTGAACCTTACAGTTTATTAGACTCTTTGGGCTACTCAAGCAAGTAGTGAGGGAATTTATAACTAATCAAATTTTCTTTTCATTTAACAAAATTTGCCACACAATCACTCAAGAAAATTTGATTTTTTAAAGATTTACTGTCTGTGTGTTATTACTTGGAAAAAGCGGTTGGTGGAAAGATGCTGTATGGACTTCTAAACTCATTTTCATATCCAAGTTTTTGTTAAAAAATCAAGAAAACATTTACTGACATTCAGAGCAAATTCTGTTCCATATTTTGTGAATAAGACCAAACACTGAAAGCAGTAAACCCTACATCAAGAATGATGCAGCAGACAGCTCTCTGAATATTAACAATTTTGCTTGACAATAAAACAATAGGCAAGTAACTTTCATCCTTAATGATAGAAGAAAAATCTTTGCTCATAATTTTTTTCATCAGTCAGTGAACTTATTTTTGCCTTTCCTTGGGAATAAAACCAATAACAACTTGAGCCCTAGTGTAAGAAATCTGATCTTAAAGGACAGGTTATTTTAATGAAAAGACAAAAGCCTCAGTGAATTCTCTTTACAGAACTATATGCATTATTGAACTGCACATTTTGGAGATCCCATTGACCAGGAGTTTTCTCTGCACACAGTGCACAGCTTACTGAAAATTAGACAGTTTAACACCTACTCTTTAATTATCCTGACTCAATATGTTGACCAGAACAAAACAAATTACACTTATTAGAGACTGGGAATCCAGGAAGGTGTAGTTATATCACACAGCCTGTTATACCAAAATTGTCCAACCTGCATAAGGATATTTGAGCTAGATCCACTCATCAGGTAGTCCTCCAAATGTCTTATTTAATCACTCAACATCAATCTTTCATCACTCCTTAATTCAAATTCACTGGTATCACAGCGATGAAAACAGTGTGATTCTCCTAGCCTAAGTAATATAATAATCCCTAAGATGTAAGATAAAACCCTAATATAAGCAGCTTCCCTGGTGGACATCTTATACTAATATGGATGTTTGATGCACACATTACTGAAATTTATGCATTTTTCAGCAGGACCTTCCCAAAATATGATTATTTCCTATTTGCAGACTCACATAACTGATTATTACTGAAAGGTTCAACACAACCAAGAATTATCTTTACCTTGCAGGGTTTTGTAAGCTACAGCCTTGGTATGCAAACATCCCCAGCCCAAGTTCAAAGCAATGAGTTTATCCACTGATAAACTGTGGATAAACTGTGGCACGTGAGAGAGTGCATGCAGTCATTCCTGCACTATGCCATCCCTGGATTTCCAGCCTAGCAGGGCTACTTTGAGAAAATCTAGGATCCTCTGTGGTAAAGTACGAGAAACAATATGCTTTTTTTCTCTTTCCTGCTGGCATGAGGATTCAGTCTCAGAAGGTTGTTTATGGGGAAGTTCAGAGAAGCAGCAGTGCATGTGCCTCAAAACCAAGCAGGGAGTAAAGCACAGCAATCCCTTCACAGTGAAGGGCATTAACACAGCTTTCTAGGAAGATGGGCTATTTTCCCCCAAGGAACCTCTGCTGCGCACACTGGAATGGATTTTATGGAGCCTTAGTGATTTGGAAGTCAGCAATACAACTAATGCCATTTTATAAATTTTAGGTTCTCATGGGGCCTGGGGTCCACAAATGACACACCTTGTGTACACCCAGCAGTAGGTTCAACATTAGCATCTAGTTATAGAGACTGTAAGACTCTCTCAAGCCTCATTAAGCCTTGAGTTTGTGCCAGCAAATATGCCAGCCCAAGCCAAATATGAAACTGCAATGTAAAATCTCACCTTCTAGGAACTGGAATGAAACCAATTTTATTTTTTTATTTTTCCCCCCCCTCTCCTAGAAATAAATACTTGAGTAGAACAGCATTTTTGCTTATAGCGTCAGATGGAAATGGTCCCCTTTTACTCAGAGGTCACGTTTAAACCGGCAAAAAACTAATCTGGTCATATAAATTTAGACACTGTACATAACATTGCTAGTGTTGAATGAAAAATGTGAGTGGAATCTGAGGTATCTGCAAAGCTACCAAAAATAATTAAAAAAAAAAAAATACTTCAGCCAGAAGAAAAGGTCTGGGTTTTTTTTTTTAAATATTTTCCTTTCTTCTTTGTATTGACTAACTTTAAAAGGCATCAGATTTCATAAGAAACTGATTTTAATTATTGTTTTTCTGCTCTTATTTCTATTTTTTCAGTGTAAAGACAAGGAAGAAATAAATGCATTGGATTTTTTTTTAGGTTAAGAAGTGCTTGTGGAAACAGTATGCTGTGTATAATGTTGCTTTCTAAGTCAGAGGATACAATTGTAATTTTTTTTTTTAATTTTATGTATGTAAAGAGAACAAGTGGTCTGAATATTTCTTTTCAAAACTTCAGAATGAGTCACCTTTGCACTGTTAGTATTCCTTTTCTTGGAAGAAATACATATTGATTCCTTCTACTTAAGGGGGTGAGACAAGAGAGCTGCTAGAGCATTTTGCCACTGCTCATGCAGTGTTCAAACTAAAACCCATCCCTCAGCCACTCTCAAGTGA